CAAGTGAAAATGGTTAAGAAAATGATGTAATAAGGTTAATAAATTAACACTTATCAGCTACAAACGTGCTTTGTCGAAAATAACACTTTTTATCTCTAAAATTTTCAAAAAACAAGACCGCTTTTGTGGTTTGCAAAAATTTCCAGACTTGATCCCTATTAATGTCCATTAAATGAGGAGAATTTTTTGTCCTTTTATAAATCAAAAGCAATTTTATGAAAAAGAATAAAATACCCTTTGATTAATAGAAATTTTTAACCGTCATTAAAAGGAAAGAACAAGTGCGGATATTTTAACAAACAATGATAATTACCTTATAATTTGGAAATTGCAAATTCAGTAAGTGTTATGTTTGACAAACCATAAGGATTAATATTTTTTGCAATGCACTCATCTATACTATCTTATTAAGCAGGTTCACTCAAAGTCTTAAAGTCTTAAAATTATAAATGCCCAAAATACCCTTATTTATCTATACTACCTTAAAAACAACTTCAAATGCATAAGGTACTATGTATATGCACAAGATAAAGGTAAGTGTTGATTATGCTCCTAATATATCGATTTCGGCTCCCAAGAGGTCGATTCCTTCTCCCCAAGAGGTTGATTCCTTCTCCCAAGAAAATATCCGGCTAATTATTTTCAATTTCAAACAACTTGAACCCTCTCCAAAAATTCTTGAAACCATCTCGGCTTCCCTCCTCCCTCTCGCGTCCTTGCCGCCTCTCCTCCGGTGTTCCTCCTTCCACTCCCATCTTGTGCAGCGGTAAGGTCTGGGTCGATCTTCATGGACGTTTTTTCAAAGATATTTTCATCTGTACCATCTACCCACTCGGGAATATTGTAATCAGTGTTGAATAAGGAAAGCAGACGACGATTTTTAGTCTGGGGTACAACAACTTCTTGAAGAGCCTGTGAGATATCTACCCACTCCATGGATTTCTTCAAAGGTTTCTTCATTTTCTCTCCTGCATTTCCTTGTCTTTTCAAACCCATCTACGTAAGTTTGTTCTTAAGTTATCGCACCACTCATCCATATCTTCAATTCGACAAGAGCTTGGCCAAAACCCTACAATTCAAAGCAACGATTTCTTGATATGAACGCAGTTTTAACTATAAGTTTGCAGTCTTTTAGATTACAGGGGATTGACGCAACAACATGTATATACCTGTTTGCATTCAGAATCAATCGAGAAACTGTTATGAAAGTTCTTGGAAACATGAAAAAAGTTAGATTTCTTCTTGTTTCATTTCATAGTGATTGGGAATTTGATAAAGTTAGTCGATTCTTTCCAAAATCTTTGCAATATCTAAAGTGGCAGCATTGCCCTTTTTGTTTTTTTACCCAAACCGTTTCAAGCAAATAATCTTGTTCTTCTTGAAATGTTTGGCAGTAAAGTCGCACAACTTTGGAAAGGGGGAGAAAGAAAGGTAGAGTAAGGGTTGAATTGCTGTTTTGAATAAACATTATAAAACTACAAATCTATTGGTTTGTTATTACATCAAATATTCATCGTTTCCTTTTCTTATGATAGGTTCTTGACAAGCTCCGATTCCTTCGACTCCAAGATTCAACATTGAGGACCTTTGACCGCAGGCTAGATCCAAATCTTGAGATGTTAGATCTTGGATGCATAGGAATTTGGAAAACTTTCAAGTTGAGGATGCATAAACTCTCTCAAGGGTTTCAGGTCTAAAAATGGTGATTCCCGCCTCTTTTTTACGATTTTCAGGTCTAAAAATGGTGATTCCAAATCTGACTCTATTTCTTTTTTACATTTGATTATCAAATTGGTTTTTGGTTTAACAAAATAATATGAAATGTTATGTTTTAGACTAATAGAAAACAATCTTGCTTCCAGCAATCCAAAACACACACTTTTTGGCAAACAATCTTCGTTATCTTTGGTTACCTTTTTTCCTTAGCTTTAACAAATTAATATGTTTAGCTGCACGTTCCATGGACCTTGCTATATGTTAGCACCACACACCTTACTTCGGTCAAGGTAACACAAATGCTTCTGATCTGTTATAAAAGGTTGTTAGAAACATGAGTAATGTAGATGGGTAGCGTAATTTGAATTAGATTAACTTTTTAAACACATGCTTTGTATATTTTCTGAAGGGAGAATCAAGTGAAGATGAGGAAGAGGCAGAGGTTTTGAAGCTGCAAAATGGAAAAAAAAAAAAACAAGGTTATATGCAAATGCTGACCATGGTCTTGAAGATGACGAGGAAGATGAGAGTGAAAGAGAACCAATGTTTGAGGTTAGTTTCAGAATCTGTTATGACATTTACTATATGATTTCTCTCTATTATTTCAATTATACATGCTAATGTGTAGGTTATTTTGCCTAATAGTCAAGTATTATCAAGGTGGGTTGCAACTGCACTCAACAAATGAGTAACCCATTTGTTGCTTATTGATTCGTACTTATAACTTTGTACCCATTTCTACTAACTTATATCTTTGGAAAAACTACCTGCAAATGTTATATTTTGTGTCAAAAGTTTTTTATCAATGGGTAAAGTTGCCCATTTTATTTACTTCTAAATGTATCTTTGAGATCTCTCAAGCTTATTTTCATCCTAATGGTTACTTTTCTTGTTTGAGTATTTAAATTAAGCGCTTACCGGGTAAATTGTTGCATACGATACCGTTTTGGTGGACTAAAATCTTATCCGGTAAGTAAATGATCGTGTTAAATTTTACCGGTAAACGCTTACCGAGTAAGTGTTTGGTAAACGGCCCCTAAGACACTTATTTGTGACAGAAGGAGTATTATTAATTCCAATCAATATTGTGCATTTCTTTTAATCTACAGGAGAGCGATGTCAAATGGCCATCCAGTTGGGACGCCTATCTTCTAATGGCAGATGATAAAGTTCACTGGTTTTCAATTGTGAACTCCCTTATGATTGTTCTTTTCCTATCAGGTATGGTGGCCATGATCATGTTGAGGACGCTTTACCGCGAAATCTCCAAATACAACCAATTAGAAACACAAGAAGAGGCCCAAGAAGAAACGGGATGGAGACTGGTTCATGGCGGATTGAATAGTAAGAGTAATAATAGGATGAAATTAGGAAAAGGATGGTGATGTTTAGTGATACTTGTTTTGAATTTTGGTCTGCATATTTTGTATGTAGAGATTTGAGAGGATTTAAAAGTTGGATGTTTTGGTTCTTGTTTATCTATCAATTTTTATGTTTGTATCAGGATTATTCTTCTTGTGATATTGTTTTTCTTTTATCATATGGCATGAATCTTGGTTGTCTTTCTTCAATGTCAAATGCTTCCATTTGTTTTTGTTTTTGGTTAATCTTTAATTTACCCTTTTTTTTCTAATTAAACCAAATGGTCTAAGGATTCCATTTCGTGACTTGTAAAATGTCAATTTTTGAATTGAATATGATTCTGGTAGGAACTAATATCATATTTTAATTTATAAAAATTAAATTTCATAAGTTATAGTATTGGTACTTGAGAAATCTTGACTATTTTAGTTCAAAGTGAATGCATACACATGGGCAACCCTAGCATTTGAAATTGCAATCTTGTTGGGTATTTCAACTTTACTAATGATGAGTATTTGGTATTTTGCAAGGTTTGTGCCGATAGCCATATTCTAACCTCTTTATTTTTTAAAGAAAACATTAACTACGTGCAATCTTGACTCGCCATCTTCTTTGTTTGGAATGGATGTAATCAAAATAGGAGTCTTTTTTAAAAGGACTATAAATTAAAGGATCAACAAATTGAATTTCACACCATAAATTAAATGACTATCATACTTTTTTACATCTCGCTGCATTGCATGGGTATACAACTAGTAAAATATAATAACAAAAAGGGTTACTTTATTTATTTATTTTAGGAATGAACAATGGTCCTTAAAATTCAACATTTAATTCATTAATTTATTTAACAAATTTGACAAAAACAAAAGTTTCAACCTTATACATTTACTTTTGAATCGTTTATCTTCCAAAATACCACTGCATTAGCAAATAGCAACTCTACAATATAAGGATCGGTCATAATGTAAATAAAAAAAAATGGTCAATAAGTACACATAGCCCAAATCTATAATTTTTTCCAATATCTTTAATAGTAGTTTAAATAATACTTGCAGATCGGAACTCCTTTAAAGATTTGGTTTTTGTACTTGTGGATCATATTTATAACTTCTTTTTTGCATTTTGAGCCATCTGCAAGTGGAGAAGGTGCCGGTTGCGAAAATAGTAATTTTTTGAAATTTCATAAGAGAAATGACTAAGAAATAAAATTGGTCCTTGAAAATGGCTGTAATTTCCCTTTTTTATTTATCTATACGAATTCATGAATTACTATTTATTGATACATATTACTTAAAATTCAATATTACAAATAAATTATGCATAGGTACAACTTTTTAAAACTCTATTCTTGAATTCGTGTAACTAACTACAGATTAAACATAATCAAATACAAGATAAACATCTTATTTTAAATATAAAAAAATAAAATATAATTAAAATAATCAATTATGTATTAACAGAATACTAAATTATCATATTTATTAAAATTATATTATTAAATAAAAATAAATTAATTTGTTATCAAATTTAAATTGAATTATAATAAAAAATTAAATTAAATAAATTATACAATAAACAAAAAATTTTAAATAATTAATTTAATATTAATATTAATATTATATTTTTAAATTTATATTTTATTAAAATATTATGGATATCTAAAAAAACACGTAAAATTATATTATATTGACGGAGGAAATAAATAAAATCTTACTGTATTGTACTACTATTTTCTAGTATTTAAAAAAAAGGGGTTTTACCATGAGGGCAAGCGCGTGGCGGACACACTAGCCGGATAAAAGTATGGAAAGCGTAGAGGTTACGTAATACGTTTACTTTTATGATGTAATGAATCACCCCCACAATCTTCCGTTTATAAATCCTTCATTCACCACAACCACACACCAACCCACCCACTTGCTGCAACCGTTGACGCACCACCACCGCCCTTCCTCCATCCCAACCTCACTAGCCGGATAGGAGATATGCAAGGCGTCCACGGCTACCGTATTCGATCCGACGGCGGAGTCCGCCTCGAATTAACACCAACCACTAATTCCCCTCTCGCTATCGATATCTCCGAATCCACCGAAATGAGGATCCAACGTCTCATCACTGAGAATCCGGTCATCATATTCAGTCGCTCCGCCTGTTGCATGTGCCACGTCATGAAACGCCTCTTCTCTTCCCTCGGTGTTCACCCTACCGTCATCGAATTGGAGGAGGACGAGATCGAAGCTCTCTCCGCCTCCCAGCAGGACAGCGGAGGTGGAGGTGGAGGAGAGACCATAGCTCCGGCGGTCTTCATCGGAGGATCTCGTGTCGGAGGATTAGAGAGTCTCGTAGGACTTCACCTGAGCGGTCAGCTTGTTCCAAAGCTCGTAGAAGTTGGTGCTCTGGCGTTGTAGCTAGCTACCCCAAACACAGGGGGTATTATGGTAATTTACAAAATATATTTGTGTTTTTTTTTTGTTGCAATTATTTGTAATTTTTTTTTCCCTATGGACATGCACCAATTTTATTTTCCAACTGTAAAAAAATGCAAAATGAAGGTGAATTATCCATGGTATAAGTATGTATGCAGAAAGTACAAGTGATGAAATCAGATTGTTGTGCACCGCTGATTTGTTGATGAAATGTTGGCCTTCCATTTTGCATGTTATGCAAATGGTTCCTTCAATTTTCATATATATTATATTACTGATTACTAATTACTAATTACTAATTACTAATTACTAATTACTAATTACTAATTACTAATACTTTTGTTGTTTTGTTAAAAAAACAAAAAAAAAATGGCATTTGATTTTAAGAAAAAAAGAAAATATTAAATAACAACTATATTATATACTCAAAATAACTTGATAAAATTAAGAAAACTTGTAAGGACACATTTTTAGCTCACTTGGATCACCTCAACCTGTTACTGTTCCTGTTCCAGTCCTATATATAAAATCCTCCTCACTTTTCTCTAAAGTCAATACTCTAAAATTATTCCAGTCCTATATATAAAAATAAAATCCTCCTCACTCTTCTCTAAAATCAATACTCTAAAATTAGTTAAGATGTACATAAACATCTATGACTAAAATCATGCATTTACATTAAAAAAATTCACATACTTATTTTATAACCATTTGTGCATTTTTTTCCCTTCCGTCAACACCAAACTTAACACATAGCATTTTGCGTTATGAATAGTAAAATACCCAATTTAATATGTTTTAAATTGGTATTAAAAAGAATATACTTAAAATTGTATAATTAAACATGAATCATTAATTAATTGTTTAAGAAAATATATATATATATATATATATAACTTTTTGTTGTTAAAAAAAAATGAAATGATGTTGATTGTTGGAACTTAAAATATAAATAAACAATGTTTATGTTGTATTGTTTGTTACCCAGCCAGCAACTCAAAAGCATAAAATTTGCAACTACATTACATAGATTCAATTATTTGGTATTTATGTTTTCAACCTTTGATTTCAAAGGAATTAATGTTTATATATAAATCATAAAAAATTGAATTTAGAGATGCAAATCTGACCACCCATATCAATATTTTTTTTTTTGAATCTCAAATTGTTTTTTTCACAATATTTAATTTTCTTATTTAATACAACCTCAAGGGCTTTTACCCATCCATCAACATAATAATTTATTTTATCAGGTAAAACTAAAACGTATCATATACAACAATTTATCTAGTAAACGTTTATCAAAATAATAAAATTCTGTACCTTTGTCATGTTCATATAAAGAGAAAAATTACCCAGTAACACTTTTTAGGTAATCATTTGATAAGCCATCCATGAGTGTAGGTGCTTTTGTTGTATTTAGAAAATTAATGTGATAGATAAAAAGCCAATTTGGGATGTGATGCTTTTTGAAATGATAGATGGGTCGACATGGACCGTTAGTTCGTCCTTCAAATTGAAACATGAGAGTGAATTTCACCTTATTAAACAAAATAATTTCTATTGTTGTGTGCTGATTGTTTTGGAAGTGAATTCAAGGAGTTATATGTTCAAGAGTTAATTAAGATTAAATCGGGATTCTAAACAATTTTTTTTTAACTATTAAATAACCTCTCTACCCTTTTAACATCCATACTCAATAACATATGATATTTTTTTTTATATACTAAAGTTTCAACCTGGCTAATCCAACCGGAACGGTTTCAAATTGGTTGGGTTGTACTTCTATTTTGGTTGAATTGAGTTTGAGATCTTTAAAGTCGCAAACACCAAGTTAGGTTGTTCAAATGTTTTTTACCGACTCGTTCGCTCTTATTCACAACCATTAACAAAGGCATTAAACTTTCACTTCTAACAATAAAAAAATGTAATTGTTGAAAAAATAAATTTAGAATTTAATACCTTGAATAAAACTCTTGTCAAAACTTGTGTATCGAGTTTAACAAATAGGTCCTAAAATGCTCAAAAGCCACCAACAAAAACCACCATCAAAACAAATTTGTGCAAAAGCACCCATAAGACTTGAACTAAAATTGAAGGATTCGTAACACTGTATATCTATATTTTTTAATAAAAGCATACATTGGTATCTTTTTGAACAACATGTTTATAACACCGACTAACCTTATATCCATGTTGAAGTATGCGTTGCAATAATGCACAAATGACCTTGTTCTAACCTAATTGGGACCAGTTATAAATATTGTCTTCACTCTTCAAAATGTAATGCAAAAACAAATAAAACCCAAAGTACACGAAGATATTTGATTGATTATGAGTTTTCAAATTTTTACAAGGATGAACAATCATATATTTGTTCATACATTATATAAAAACAAGTCACTATTTTTTTCATATAGTTTGATTCATTTTTTTTTTACTTTTCAGTTCAATAAAATGATGACATATTTTCATGATGGACAAAAATAAAACACCTAATTTGAGATCAAGAGATTTTTATTTTGATTTGTTAACTTGTTTATTAAAAGGGGAAAAATACACATAAAATAGGGAAATGTCTAGAAAAATGAACATGATGTGTTTTTTATTTTGAATCATGCTTTTTTTGAAAAACAAATTATTGAACTTCATGAAACCGATTAAATTTATAAAGCGTTCAATATGATTAAATCATGGTAATGATCCAAAAATACATAGATATTTTGAAAGATTAAGTCCATAATTTTTTTAATAAACAAATAAATCGTTATACATCACTCTCATACATCAACTGCAAAATATAATGAATGATTTAAAATTGGGAAATTATATTCGAATTTGTTGAACATTAATTATTACATGAGCTTTAATTAAATTAAAAGAACCATATATATATATATATATGTGTGTGTGTGTGGAAGGATTCAAACGAAAATACATTCATTTTATGAAATCGTGAGCACCCCCTTTTACCATAAAACAATCACATGTGATGCTGTTATTTGATTACATATGACACTAAATCAGAGACGTGGATGACTCTTGACGCGATATAAGTTGTAGGCCAAGTCGCCCTTACACTAGTAAGCCCCTCACATGTACTATCACATCTGATATATGTGTTATTAATGTGATCCAATAATCCATCAACACCATCACATGTGATACTAAATCATAGATGCAGACGACTTTTGATGCGACTAAGTTGCAAGACACGACATCCATACACCATCAAGTTCCCTCAAGTGTATTATCACATGTGGTAAGAATGTTCTCACATTCTCATAAAATGAAGTTGTTCTCTTTTGAACCTCAACACACACACACACACACACATATATATATATATATATATTTGTGTGTGTGTGTGAAAGTTCAAACGAGAACTCCTGTAATTTACAAGAACGCGATAACAACCCAATAACCTAAAACTTTTTTAAATAATAAATTAACTTATATTAAATATAAATAAATAATACGAGCAACAATGTAATTAAGTAATTTTATAATTTTTATTTTATTTTAATTAATTATAATTATCTTTTTTTTTATTAATCACGTTCGTTTCTATTTTCTTTTATTCTCTTGTGATAATTGTGTGATTGTGTAACCATAACCTATCGAAACCATGAGTAATCGTTGTGATAAGTGTGTGATTGTCTAACCCTAACCGATCGAAACCATGATCAAATTGAGTGCGCAAGTGATGTTATAATAGTGATATCACATGATTATCACATCTATATTACACCAAATCGATTTCGCCCGAAATCGTTGTGATAAATGTGTGATTTTATAATCCTAACATATCGAAACCATGAGTAATCGTTGTGATAAAATGTGTGATTGTCTAACGCTAACTGATCGAAACCATGATCAAATCGAGTGAGCTGTTATGATAGTGATATCACATGATTATCACACCAAACCGTGTTGAAATAAGCGATAACCGTAATAGCCCATTATGTTATCCAGATTATTGAGTTTAGTGTGATCGTGTTTTTAAAATGTTATCACTTTGAATTCCAATATTACCCTTTTGCCTTCATTTTTTTTGAATTGTTTTAATTTCATTTATTATTTAAAAAATCTTTTAATTTTTATTGTTATCACAATACGAAGTTAATAAGTTGTTTTAAATGCAACCCTTACATTTGTACAACAAATGCAACCCAATAAATTAAATATTTATGGAAATGATGAAAGTTTATTTATTATAATTTAAATATTTATAAAAGATGGATAAAATTTATTAATTATGATCAATACTTTATATTAAAAAAAAACAAAACTTTATAAAATTATATATTTATCAAATTAAATTGACGATTGAGATTGAATTATATTAATTATAAAAATAGAATTATATAATAACCCATCTCTGTCTCTCTATGTATATTTATTTATTTAAAAGGCCTATTAAGACCAATCTTCCAAGGGAAGAATAGAGAAAACCACCATTTCATACATTTCCATCAAAACCAAAAACCCTTTCTCCCCAACTCCTTCATCCATTGCCGGTGAGCTTCGATTTCACTAACGCCAGTTGCTTGTTTTTCAAAGTCACTACTATTGAATTTCTCATGACAATGTTTAACACGCAGTCTGTTTGTATCTAGCGCCACCGCTACTGCTTCCTACTAGTTTCAATACTTAATTTTATCAGCTTTAATGGACATGGACCCTGATGATGTGTTTAGAGACGAAGAAGACGACCCTGAAAATGATCTCTATCAGGTTTTCTTCTCCATGCGTACTTCAATGTTATTACATTACATGTACCTGTTTTTCAGGTTGTCTTTTTTTTTTTAATTAACATATTGATTTTGGGAAATAGGAAAGGCAGGCAAGCAAAGAACTATTGGTGTACCTAGTGGATGCTTCGCCAAAAATGTTCAACATCACTTGTCCTGGGGTTTGGACATACCTTTCTTTGCACAAATACACACTTGTGACATGTTTCTATTTTATTGTTAACGATATTCATGCCGCTAAATGTTAATGTGATTACAAGGATAAAGCTAGTAAATGTTGCATTTAGATTTTGTATTTATTGCAACTTTGAAGCTCAGAATTTTTCATGGACAAAGGGAGTATTTGATTGATAGACACTTGTTTTATGTTCGGATTTCATTCTCACCTTAGTTTTCAAAGGAATATTAGTTGTTTTTATAATCAAATTGGACAAGAGAATCTTGTTTCTCTCTCAGTTCTCATGATTATGGTTTACAAGGCGATAGCAATTTGTGCTAGTAGATTCATAATTTTAGCTTCTACATATTAATGGAATCCTAATGTTTTTTGCCATTCCAATTAGTGTATCAATGTTTTTGCTGATGGTAATGTTCTACAGGAAGATCAAAAGAATGAATCTCATTTTCATGTTGCTGTAAGTTGTATTGCTCAGTTTATCAAGGTTCAGATCATCAACAGGCCATATGATGAAATTGCAATATGCTTCTTCAATACTGTAAGAATGCAACTAAAGTTAACTGAAATGTTTGTGTATCCTGGTCATTTTGAATGAACATTTTACTCTTTTAACACTGTGTTCTCAAGTTTGTTTCGTTACTCAAATCATATTTTTCTTGGCTATACCAAACATTCAAGGGAACTGAATCACCTTTTTAGTTATAACATGTGATCTCTAATTGAATTCCATTTTTCCTTTGTTTTGTTGCCACTTAGCAGCATGTGTGTTAGGATCATTATTGAGAATTCAATATTGCTAATAGAATTCTTTTTTACTTTTAGTTTCTGGAGCTTCCTAGGTTTATAAGTTGTTCATTCTTTCAAAACTATTATTACATGGATAATTGTACATATGCCATGGAGTCCATTTTTTATTGTTTGTTTTATTGTTAACATACCAATTTCTTTATTCAATATATATTACCCGTACTAATTTGTGTTTATGTATTGAAATGGGTATCATTGGCAGAGAGAAAAGAAAAATCTGCAAGATCTAAATGGTGTTTATGTATTTAATGTTGCTGAAAGAGAACATTTGGACAACCTTACAGCACGGTTCATAAGGGAATTTGATTGTGTAGAAGGTATGTCTGTGATGTAATCTTACAAATTACGACATGTACAAATTTGATTGCATTTGGTGAATTCCCTTTTGAATTATTGCCCAGATGTTTCTTGCATCAGTTGTTTTCACTGCAGTTTGCAGTGAAACATACATGTTCCGATGTTCATCCTTGTAGCATTCCGAAGTGTTCTTTACACATTCTTTTTGATGATTTATTGTTGTTAGGGTTTTGTGAGGTTTACTTGTATTGTGTTTGGGCATGATCAGGCCGTCCTGATCTCTGGTTTTGGTTTAATTCTCTTTATTGCTTGGTTGTCTTGTTACTTGAATTGTGTTCCATTTTTCTGGTGTACTACTCTGTCTAGTCAACTGATTTTCTCTGACTTCTCCTTCGTCACTGCTGTGGGATTATTTGGAGTCACCATTTACCAGTCTTCTCTTAGTCCCTAGTTGACTTGACAACCTATTTAGGGTTATTTGTTGCTTTCTTATTACTGGGAAGTGGGAATTCATTAGACAGGTCTGGATTGGTTTTTAATACTTCTCTAGAGCCACCCTTTATTCATCCAGTTTTGGTGCGCTCTAGTGATTACTTGTACACATGTTGGCCAAGTGTCTCCAAAGAGCTTAGCACTATTTCATATGTGATGACAACTTGGGCAAGTTAGGAATGTAGAAATATATTCAGCAACAATCATATCTTCAAGTTTTATGTCCAAGCATATGGTCACTTGTACGTAGCTATATATGTACTCTTCTGTAATGAGCATTTTTCTCTGTTCCTGAGTTACAGTGACAAACTAACAATACACCAAATGCTTTAATTGAACGTCTTTCTCTTCACTAGGTTGTTTTAATAAAACACAAGCTTCACTTAACTATAAAAGAATGAATAAGAACATACACTATCTAAATACCCTCATCCCAATTTGTACTCATGATGGTCTTTAGATCTTAACTCATTTCACTCTTCACCTATTTGTGGCCCATGTTCTTCTCTTTTTGTTTCCTGTCTCTTTCTCTGCACACAATGGGATAAAATTTCTATCTCATTCTTTTCATGTCATTTTTTCCCAAACCCGCACCCATTCTTTGTCTGTTTGTCTTTCTCTCTCTTGAACAAACCGCAAACTAAAAAAATACTCCCTTTCTCTTGAAATACATGCACAGGGGTTAAAGTCATTTTTTCTTGAACTATTGTTTACATACTCATTACCATATCAGATTTTCTAAAACAGACTTATACCAGAGTAGTTGTGTGCATAAAATTAAGTGTACTTCTCTGTAGCCATATATCTTCATGAGCAAATTCTACAGCATGTATATCTGTGACAAACACCAAGATGCGTAAATAAGATTATTGCATTTTCACAATCTCACTAATAGTTTTCCTGTCCCTTTCTCCCATTAAAACATATCTTGGAAGAGAATGCAAACTAGTTACGAAAGTGTTATAGTGAAAAGATAGCAAGTGAAGCTAGTGGCACTGATGGTTATTCAGTGGCAATGATAAATTCTAGCAATTTGAGTTCCATGCAATAAATGTCTCTTTATTATCTGTTTGTGACGTGTGTTTTTTTAAATAGAAACATAGAGAGAATGATAAACAGATGCAAAGGCTTTTGTTTTTAAAGAGCGAAGAGGAGAAGGTGAACTAAAAACTAGGGTGTACTTTGGCCTTTTACTCAATAATTAAGATTAGAGTGATGATCATGTTTAAAGAACAGGTGTAATAATGTTTGCATGCATTGGTCATGTCTAAAGGAACACTGAAGCATGATGGTTAATTTGGTCATTATTGCAAATGATGTACCGTTTTTTTGTTGACAAAGTAGATTTCTCTTGTTTACGTTATCCCTATTATATGAATGCAGAATCCTTCAATAAACTTATTGGCAGCGAGTATGGTATTGTTTCTGGATCTAGGGATAATTCTTTGTACAATGCATTCTGGGTTGCACAAGCACTACTGCGTAAAGGGTAGGCTGTCTAATTTTCACCCCTTCTTGGGTAAATTACATTGAGTTTCTTCTTTTCACTCCTTTCCCTTAAGCATGTATGATACAAATTTCCAGGGAATAACATTGTGATAAAATTTCAGATCTGCCAAAACAGCCGATAAGCGCATCTTGTTGCTTACAAATGAAGATGACCCGTTTGGAAATATCAAGGGAGTGACAAAGCTAGACATGGCTAGAACAACATTGCAGCGAGCTAAGGTAAATTCTTGATCTTTATATAGCTATTTAAGTGCTTTAATGTTGATGACTTTGTTATACTTACTTTTCTGCATAACTAGATTCTACTTTTGATTTAGAAGTTCAAACCTACTACTCATCTTTATTAAAAATTGATGTAGATTCGTTTGTTCTTTAGCTCTTTAACTTTTTATTGTAATAGTTATTTTATACTAATGTATTTGTAATGTTTTTGATGGACAACCCAACTATCAGTTTTAAAGTTATGAAGTTAACCATCGGACTGTTAAAAAGTTAAATGTGGAGTCTCATTTGGGAAAGGAGGGTCTAGCTGAAGTACTTATGATATATATTTTTCAACTATTGCAGGATGCACAAGACCTTGGCATCTCAATTGAACTTCTTCCTTTAAGTAGGCCAAATGAAGAATTTAATGTCTCACTTTGTTATGCTGTATGTTGACGGTTTGAATTTATTGCCTTGATTATAAATCTTATAGTTATTTAGACATCACAATATCAATCTTTTACATATCAGGATTTGATTGGATTGGATGGTGATGATCTTGCTCAATTCATGCCATTGGCTGGAGAAAGGTATGCGTGGTTTAAGTTATTTTGTTTCAGTGATGTGAGTGTGGAATGATCAAAGGCTAGTTGTAGTGTTCTGTGTGATTGCCAGTTAGCTAATCACATAGCTAAAATCAAGTCTTCCATGTGAGAATGTAACATATTAAGGTTGACAACAATCTTGGTTAGATTTAGGGGCTTGAGGCATCCTACAATTTACATAATATGTAGTCCCTTGTTCAACTTTTATTTGTCTAATTTATGTCCCTCTTGATGCAAGGTTCTTTAGGTGTAGACATGGTTGGTATTTTAAGTTCTTCTGTACTGAGCAATATTTGTAGTGGTATGGTCCATTTCTCATAATTCTATATTTCATTAAAGGGTGGTTGTTTTTATCCATCAATTTAATCCCATGCATACCCAATCTAGACCAACCGAACATGATAGTTGGCGATGACTCATCCCATTACCTAGCTCATTCATTTCCATGTCATTCCATTCAATTAAACTGAACGGTGCAGTTGGTTTGCAGTAATGCAGTCTTATAGCTTTATGTGGTGAGAACAGGTCTGCAGGAACCTTGCTGTATGAAACATGTTATATATCAGGTCTTGTTAGGTGTCTCACGAGTCACGAATGAGAGATATTCACAATGCATTAGTTATGCCAATTCCAGTGGTTTTCTGGAAATTGTTGCTTCCTTTTTTGGTTGCTTCCCTGACCTCTGTGTGTGTATATAAATAAAATTCAATTTCAGATTTGAAGACATGAAAAAACAATTAAGAAAACGCATGTTCAAGAAGCGCAAAGTCCGCAGGATCACGTTTATGATTGCAAGTGGCTTATCGATTGAACTGAATACATATGCTTTGATCCGTCCCACTGCTCCAGGTCTGCAAGTTGCTTTACATATGCTATCAACAAAAATACATGATGATAATACAGGGGACTTGAGACTGATTAGCCTTACTTTTGTTGCAGGGACCATTACTTGGCTGGATTCTGTCACCAATCTTCCTTTAAAGGTAATTAGTTGGAAATTACCCTTTCCTTCCTGGATTTATATTTGCTATTTCATAGTTTGGGAGCTTTATAGATATCCTAGATTTATATATGCTATTTCGTAGTTTGGGAGTTAAATAGATATGGAGTAAGGTTTCATTGTTTTCTTGTTATCAATTCATTAATATATTGAGCCAAGGTCCTCTTAGGGGTGTCAAAAAACAACCAAAACTGAATAACCCACCTGAAACTGAATAACCACAAAATTTGTGTTATTAGGTTTTCGGGGTTAAATGGTTCGGTTAACTGAATAAAGATAGCCTTTTTTGGCATCAGTTATCTTTTTATGGTTTTGGTTAAACTGAATATAGCCGTTATATAATTTTTTGTATTTATATTTATATTTTACATTTATAAATTATCTTTTATTCATTCTGTAACCATTCTTAACCCTTTCCGTCTTTCATAACTCACCTAAAAAATCGTAACCCTTTTGTCAACCAAATTCCCAAAAAAAGACTTTGTTCAAAAACCTTATTAAAATAAAAAAACCTTATTCAGTTTACCCCAAACTGATTAAACCTAACCATTTTTGGTTCTGTTATCGGGTAGTTTGGAGAAAGTTGAAAACCGAATGAATAACGTCTACGTCCTCTAGCTGTTTTAAAAAATCACCATCAAGGTTATGGTTGAAATAATATAGAGCTGAAATTCACAGGTAATCCATAAAGGAACTTACCCTTTTATGATTCTTGGAGTGGTTATGGTTGCTTTAACATTTTACAGGCTGAAAGGTCATTCATCTGTGCTGACACTGGGGCACTAGTGCAAGAGCCTCCAAAGCGTTTCCAAATTTACAAGAAGTAAGTCCAATTATGTGTTTCCTTACAGACATTTTTTGGATTTGCTAACTGCACAGGGCAAGACATCCTTTTCTTTCCAGCTGACTTGCTGTTTTTGGTTCTCCAAAATTATTTACTTCACGTCGAACAAAGGAGTTCTGTATGTCCTAGTTCTAGCAGCCTCCCTCTAGTGGATATGCTTCACAAGTCTTATTTTTTTGCTTATAGTTCCCTAACTTGTATCATGTAGTTGTTTGCTTATGCCCTGCTATCGTTGGTTTCTTTTGTTATCACCATGATCATTTTTACTGCAAATCAAAGGTTAAGCTTGATTCTTCTTCTTTGCTTTAAGCCAATGTCATTGTTTGATTCTTCTTATGTTCCAGAATTGATCTCTTAACAAATTCTGCGACTTGTTGAAATTTGTTCTTAGGAATTCCTTGTCCTTTGGTATTGTGTGCATTTTACGGATTTTAAAATGATAAAAAGAAGAGAAGTTAAAGACGAACAAAATATAATTAGTAATCTATCCGGGTTAACATTTGTTCTCCTTTAACTTCACAGAATTTGTTCTCCTTTAAATTCTAAGGAATTCTTTATCCTTAACCAATTATATTTTGTTCTCCTTTAACATCTCGTTTCCTTAACAAATTCTTATATTTGTTCTCCTTTAGCTCCTCGTTTCGTATAATATTTCTCAATTGCGATGTAATCATTTCATCTGATGATGCTATGTACTTTTCTAGTGAGGAAATCAAGTTTTCAACAGAGGAGCTTTCAGAAATCAAGAGAGTTTCAACAGGAAGTCTAAGGCTTCTAGGTTTCAAGCCGCTAAGTTGCTTGAAGGATTATCACAACTTGAGGCCATCAACATTTGTCTCTCCTAGTGATGAGGTTGTTACCATACATAAGAAATCTTTAATGTCATTTCATCCCCTATATTTCAATCAAAGCTAAACGTAATATGTTGAACGTCTTCGTCCTTGCCCAACTTTTAGCCTATAGCTATATTGAATACTATATTAATGGAAACAACTACTCAATCCTTTGTGGGTAGAGAACATGTCTACATACATCCCACCACCAGACCTTGCTCTTGAGCGGGATATACAGGGATCGTTTGGTTTGGTTGAGGAAATCATCAATAAGATGGCGTATCATTTTAACAACTATGCTGATACTAAAAGACATCTGAAGACTATTGCTAATATACAAGTAGATTAGCATTGATTCTATTTGGCAATACTTTACATGTTTGGAAAGTACATGTTTTCTGTAACGTTTGGGTAAGTTTTAGGGTGTATATGTGGAAATAGGGTAAAATGCGTGAAATAGCAACCTACTTTTACAAATTCCTTATTATAGCATTGCACTTTCAGTTTTTGTTATTACAACAATGTATTTTTAAAATATTTTTTATTAGGGGATCGTACTTCCAACAATTTACCCGTTATAGCATTGACTAATCTTTTAAATTAAATTTACCCATTATACCAGGTTTCTTTGCCACATCATCGTCCACGAACGTACGATAGTGCTGACATGACATTTCTTATTATAGCATTGTACTTTCAAAATTACTTAATTATAACATCACCAATTTCTATTACAATATTGTACTTTTAATATATTTATCATTTAAACATTGTAAATTTAATCAAATATATTTACTAAAAAATATAATATCAGAAATTAAACATGTTTCTAAAAGATCACTATTTCACGAATAAAAATATTCATTAAAAAGTGATGGCTGAATTGTACACATGTTTAATTTATGATATTATAATTTTTATGAGTGAAATAGTAATCTTTTGTAAACATGTTTAATTTATGATATTATAATTTTTATTAAATTTACAATGTTTAAATGGTAAAAGTATTAAAATTAAAAGTAAAATACTGTAATAGAAACTGGTGATGTTATAATAAAGTAATTTTAATAGTACACTGCTTTAATAAGAAATGTCATGTCAGCACTATCGTACATACGTGGACAATGAGGTAGCAAAGAAACCTGGAATAATATAACGGGTAAATTTTGAAAGTACGGTGCCCTAATAGAAATTATTTTCAAAGTACATTGTTGTAATAAGGAAAACTGAAAGTGCAATGCTATAATAAGAAAAATTGTAAAAGTAGGTTGCTGATTCACGCATTTTGCCCGTGGAAATATGCATGTACATGATGTGAACTTTTTTAAGAACCTGTCAGTCAGCCCAAATGGCTTGTAAAAGCATGTTTTAGATGCAATACATGTCTTAAGGATTCTATTACACATTCTTATTAGTACATGGATTCCCACAACTGAAACAAGACACATGTCATGGTGAGATATAAATCACTTCATGGTGTATCTTCATTTCTAGTCTATTGTCTTTGGTTTTCTTACTTCGGTATGATATTCTTGTGCAGGAAGTGATGGGAAGCACGTGCATTTTCATTGCTCTTCACAGATCTATGATACGCCTAAAGCGGTTAGTACTCGAAATTATTAGTATTCTATTCCAAGAAACATTTTGTGATTGATACCTTCAATTAGATAGGTTTACATTATATCTTATAGTTAATAGGAGTTTTTGATCCCTTTACCCTTGCACTTCCAACTACATTATTGAGTCAAAGATGGAGGATTATATTTCGTGTGAAATAATAGATTTTAATATATCCGTTATCTGCTATGTTATGTATTGCAACTTAAGAATGAATGCAATAAACTGGAGAGATGTAATATCTATCACATGCAAAGCTGCATATGGTAAATACTCCTTTGCCCACTTTAAATCTTTGTGCATAGTTGTTCTTTCTTCTTTGACCAATAACTATTGCTCTCCATGCTTGCATTGCATTGCAGTACTTTTAGCTTTTAATCTTTTTTCTTTGTCCTTGATGACATACTGTGCAATGTTATTTTCCTGAATGTTAGCTTAACTAATTTATAGTGGCTTGATGGCCTTATGGATGCAAGAGTATTGAGTGTCGATAGTGGTGGGAATTGGATGCCAAAGCTTTTCATGTGGGCATAGTCCAGACTCCAGAAAATTCTTGACTGGCAATAATCATAGATATTGTTTCCCCCCTAATAAGAGTTAAATTTGATGAAAAATGATCGACTCCTTTGGAACCTGGATCTCAGCAATGTGTCCACTTGCAGTTCTCACAGTTTGTGCAGAGATGTGGGTCCTGATAACAGACACTGATTGGTTTGGATATTGTTATACTTGAATCCAAATTTGATTGAATCCTCTTTAGAGATTTATATTTGAATGCTAAATGGAATTGGACATTGAACTCCAATTTTGGTAATGGATATTATTTTAATCAGAACATTATCCAAATTTCTTTCAGCAGATCTATATGTGAACTAGAAACGGTGAATCCTAACTGAATTGAATTAGAATCCAGATGTTTAAGTAGTAGAAAATATTACAATTTCAAATCTATAACAAAAAAGAACAATACTCAACAAATTGGAAAAACTTTAAACGATGAAAGATCTCACGAGGCAACAAGATTACATTCCTTCAATGAAAAAGGGTTACATTACAAAAATGTTTAATAACCATCATACTGTTTAAGAAAAATCACTAACAAAGAACAAACCATCTTTAATTCAAATTCTGCTCAAAGTTGAAAGAAATGATCCGTCATATTTTCTCGAGTGCATATAAATAAATTTACCTCGACTGAGGAAGAACAGTGAATTTTAAGGAGACGAGCTAGTGGTAAAGTGTTAGTTTGAGAAAGGGGGGGGGGGGAAGAGAGAGAGGATAGACTGATGGAGTACATGCTATTAATTACTAATAAAAACAAGAGTCTTATATATGCATTTGGTTGATATTAGTCATATAAATCAAGTAATCAATACATGGGTGTGTGTATTGTTTTGAATAAAAGATTTGAACAACATCCAAATCTGATAGCTGGACTCATCTTTGAATCCACTAACTTAACTGATAGGGACATTTGACATGGTATTTGATTAACATCGGACAAACACAAAACTGAATTAGAAATATCGACTGTTGTATCTCCAGTAGCCATCTTCAATTTTTTTGGTTCCATTTGCATGCCTGCAGGGAAGCAAGGCTTCTATGAAAGTAACTTTATAAATTGTAGTATTTGGTGATACAGTTTTGTTTTGGGTTGAGAATGTCATTTTCTGTTTGGAACAGCATGGTCTGAATTCTGATATATCAGAATCTGCTTTCAAGTTGGCTCTTGACCACTGTAGATGTGGGTCAAGTAGCTTATCGTGTCGAGGACTTGATGAAAATTTCAAATAGTCATTGCCTTGGAGTGTTACCTGGCATTAGAGGATATTTCTAGAGCCTATCTATCCAACAGAAAGAATTGGATAGCCTTTTAGCTTTCCATCAAATTCACGATCCCTTCCCCTACAAATTGTTCTCAATAACCACTCCAATAAAATGCTTCAATTGAGATTTATCTGGAGATCACTGGCTTACCTACCATCCTCAGTGAAGTCTGTTGTAGCTAAGAAGGATGGTTCTAAGGAGGTTATTGTGGCTTAAAGACATGGCTTGATGCAGGAGATTGATGATCCATCTGATGCCTTTAGCTTATGGTTGGTAATTATTCATCCTTGTTGGTAATAAGTCGAAGACATCTGCATTGGTGAATATTACAACATGAGTGTAGTTATGTTTAGGGATTGTCGTTTTTCATAAATTCCTTTTTAGGAGAACCCTTAAAGAAATTGGGCTCGAGACTAGGAAGTGTTGGAATCATGTGACATGGTTCGGATGACTAAATTGGCTTGTGAATGGATACACTGTTGGTTATAGGAATTTAATATGAGGGACACTCAAAGAAACCATAACATGTGATATTTTATCATATAAGCCTTGTTTCAAGGTCATAAGATGGACTGTGATATGGGGATTAGGGTGCTCAATATGTTGGGAATGTTAGTTCATTTCTAAACACAGACCTACCCGCATTGAAGCTCCTTCCCTTTCCAATTATTTTCTAGTTTGAATTCAAAAAAATTTGTTGCATAACCAAGCCAAAAGCACCCAACATATCTCACTTAATAGGGCCTAGGGTGTGGGATGTATGCATACTGGTCTTATACCCCAAAGAGTAGAGTGGTTGTTTTCATAAAGATCCCAGACTTACGAAGAAGAGTAAGCAGAAAAGGTTTTGGCAAAAAAAATGGAGAGCTTGAGACCAGCTTGGAAAAAAGGATGATTTCGGAAGAGAAGAACCAAGCTTAGTAAAAGGTAAGCAACAAAAAACTAAGTAGGTAAATGAAAAGGGAAGGAAGTCACACAACTCTTTTATCTATTGTAGGACTCTGGTAACCTATTTATCGGCTCTCTAAACCTCCCCCTATCTCCATTTTCTCACATCCACACTAGCTACTAAACCCTATGCTAGCTTGCTACCCCTTGTCCAGCGTCCCCAAGAACTCCTATAAGAGGTCATGTACTCGGAAATGTCCAAGGGCGCCATGTCTGTCCTCAACTGCTCCTCTCACGTCCTCCTCAGCCTGCCCTCCTCCTCACCCTTCGACTGTCATGCTTTTACTTTCCTAACCTAAAAAATTCTTTGTGTATAAAATTGAGATCACTCTTCAACCTACTTCCATTGTGCAATATGTTATATGTTAGTTTTGATTTTTGAAGACTACTCTCTTCTATGTGGTTAAGATTCCCAGATGAAATAGCCTTGCTTGTCTTTGTGGTGCCTGACCAACCAAGTGATCAGGTTAACAACTAGTTTTAACAATTGTAATGGGGGAATGTGTTCTTAATGCGATCATAACGTAACTTTCAGTTTGCAATCAGTTCATTGTCATTTTGTTTCAAAAGTTGGAGGTCTTCGCAGAAACGACTCTAATATTGGGGTAGAGGTCAGGTCCGACTACATCTGATCTCACCCTCCCCGGACCTTTTGAGTGGGATATACTGGGTTAGTTTGGTTTGTAAGTCCTAGGATACAGATATGAGGATTTAAGCATCTGATCAATCCCCACCCCAGGGGGGGTGGGGTTGCATTTTGAGTTCCTTCTGTTATGGCTGAACTCCAAACATCCACCTGTTATGTTGATTAAGGGACGTGATAAATTGTTCAGCCTTCTGCCAGCAAATTAAAATGCCAAAATAGTGATGTCATATCTCAGTGCACATCTATTGATGAATAGTGGGTACAACCAATTGTATGATATGTATCTGATACCTTGCTTATTTACCCTGTATGTGGGTTCTAGTCCTGTAGTTCCATTATCGACTGTAATCTGTTAGCATCTTTCATCTGCAAGGAGATATGTTGGATAATGTTTAGTCTTGGTGTGCTTTTCTCTAGTCTGATTGAATCAGTACCTCTAAATATTCTTACATTTCTAGGTCGATCAAAAGGATTTGTCTCTCTCTCTCTCTCTCTCTCTCTTTGATGCTTGAGGGTTAGAAAAGTGGTGAGGTGAAGGGTGTTGGTTAAATTGAACTTGGGACCTGAGACTTGCTATGAAGCCAGTTGACCCCTAGGCCACCCCTGAGTGTTTGTGGCTTCTTGTTCAAATCCGGAGCTAGGGTAGCTATGTCTCTCCTGTCTATATGACTGGACTAGCAAGTGTATGCATGTCATTTAGGATTCGGTCAAAGTCTCTTATCCTTTCTTTGCTTGCAGTTTTGCAGTTGCATTTTACGGAAGTTCAGCTCGTCCTCAACTGGTTGGTCTGGTAGCACAAGTAAGATATGGTTATCTACCTGCTTGTCTTTACGTCCCTTTTTTGACTTAATAATCCATGCCTGGTTGCTTTTATGCTGCTGTCAACTTGATTTCAGGAAAACCATCTCTTGCAATCTTTACAATAATCTAAAGTTAGTAATTCAGCCTATTTCTTTGCTTTAGTTCATTTTGTTACTTTTTATAAGTCGCACCCTTTATATGTATATAGGGAGTTTCATATACAAGCCCTCTAATTAGTACAAACCATACGAACAAATAAAAAATGATGATAGTTTATTTATTATGTTATGGATATTTATGGAAGATGATCAAAGTTCATTTATTATGATTAATGCTTTAGACAAGGAAACAATCAATATATTTATGAAACCAAATATTCGTTACACTAGATGGACGTTTGAGATTTGTATGTATGGTTTGTACTAATTAGAGGGTTTGTATTTGAAACTCCCCCCCTCCCCCTCCCCTCTCTCTATATATATCATTTATGGGATGGTTAAGAGGTAGGGCGGGGGTGAAAGGAGGACTAGTATATAAAAATATACTAATATAGCTATAATTAACTAATATGGGTCAAATGGGTTGGTTTTGTTTTAAATGGATCACTTGAGCCGAATGTAATGAATTATACCTAATGATTTGCAAGTTTTAGAGGCCAAAATCAACCTATAGTCTTAGTTCTTTAATTGCGAATAGGCCCTAAATTACCACTTCCTCCCTTTAATTGGCAGATTGAACTAAAACTTGGTCAATTCTAAATGAAGATGAGTGCTATACGATTGTAATGATTCAATGCACCAAAACGGGTTGGCCATTCTACCAGGTTAAGGTTGAGTACATACATCCTTCCGCAACAGTACCTTTTGGTACCAATGCGTGTAGTCATATAATCTGAGTACTTGTTTAACAACTAAACTATTTCTTGGTAATAATTGGTCAGGCTTATTTTAGCAGTCTCCGTTCATCAAATTGGGTTATCGTGTTTCATAAGTAGAGAAACAGATTTATATGACATCTGATGCAGCAAACTTTCTGTGATAATTACAGGAAGAAAATAAAAAATACACTTTTAAGGAGTTTAGAACAATAAGATATAAGGAAGAACAACTAAGAAGCTCTTCTTTGGGGAAAAATAACAATTGCATGCAATTCCCTTGCTAATATGATACATCTGGCATTTGTAGATGAGTACATGCTATAGAATATTTAACCATCAAAACTGCACTTCAGCATACTTTTGTTGCAATACAGCTAATGTACTTTCTAAATTTATCCTTTAATATAGTATTACTAGGTTTATATGCTTATTTACTAGACAACCTAGACTTCAGATGATAACATAGCAATAAGCAATGGTAGGTCTGGACTAGGAACTTCTAGGCCTAACTAATCAGAAACTACAGAACAATGCCTGGTTGATGCTAAGATGTGGAATATTGTATTAATCATGAGAGGCTCCATACTTAGCTCATTGACTTCCTTTTCAGCATCTAAACTATCAACAGCTGTCGAGAAGTGTAATAATCATTGGAAGTTGCCTTCAATTGCAAAATAAAGAACAGTTTTCTTTCTAATATCCTCTGTCTTGGATTTTTATGGATCTTCTTATTTAAACCTAAACTTAACTGGTTCACAATTGTAACTGATAAGGAAATCAAAGGGATTTACAGTAAGTGCTGCACTTCGTTGTTTATATGTATGTATGCGTACGGGTAACTGGATATAAGTTTTGGACTCATGTCACTGAAGTATGATTACATGACCATGACAAAAGCCACAATTCAACCATTGGTTTAACGATGAATGAGCTGGTGGCTCTCTTGGATCTAAAGTTGTATTCATAGAGAATGTATGTTGAAGATGAAGAACTACAATGGCCAAATCTTTTGTGGGTTTGATTGGATGTGCTCTTTATGCAATCAATGCTTTAATTTATATTTCTTCCTTGATTTCATCTGACATGCTGCTTTATCGGTTTATTTTATGATCTCATGATTCATTTCAATTATATTGAAGCGCAGGATGAAATCGTTGATGCCGGTGGTCAACTTGAGCCACCAGGAATGCACATGATATACCTTCCATATTCTGAGGACATAAGACTCATTGAAGAGGTAAGAAAGAGCCTTGGTCTAATTCTGGTGGTGTTTGTGTTTATGTTTTTATTGGCATTTTCAGCTTTCACCTTTTTAAACTGTAAAATTTAATCATGATATTTAGTAGCTTATAGAGCTGTGTCCTTTTGCTTTGTCCTTTCCAAGATAAAGGATCGAACCACGTTCTTTTTCTGTAAAATAATTGTCTAAATTATCACACAGAGAGCACCTAGCATAAGCATGTAACTCACCCGTTCTTCTCATTCCTAATTAGTTGGAAGGATTATATCCTTATATGTTGTGGTTATGCCAAGGGCATGGATAATTATGAATTGTTCATTATACTCAAATTTAGTCCAAACATCACTTTGGTAGTAGTTTTAAATGGACTAGTTTTCTCAAAGTGGTGTTCATTTGGATGCCTAGAAATGAAAAGAATGGGAATATTTTGCATGTATATATTGGTAAACATTCTCTTATCTATTTAAATTTTACACAGAGGTTCTCTTTATATTAAAAATGGAGTATAAAAATGATCATTCAAATGACAAAGTTGCTTCTTAATATTTTATAAACCCTTTGTTTTTTATGAACTATGAAATTTTGAACAGTTTTGAAAAGGATGTGTAGGTGAGTCCTTGAATCTGTTTTGATAGTTTCTATAGTGTTACTAGTGAACTTTTTTGCTTCTTGCAGCTTCATTCAGAGACTACTGGCAATATGCCTTCGGCCACTGAGGATCAAATACAGAAGGCCACTGCTTTGATGAAACGTGTGGACTTGAGAGATTTCTCTGTCTGCCAATTTGCCAATCCTGGTATCCCCTTTGTTATGTCATAGTTCCTATGATACATGGAAGGACTTTTACATACAAAACATCTCTTTCCATCAATTGATTTGCATGTTAATGAGGTCTAAACTATTGCAACTGAATTTAGTGTAGATTATGTTCCTTTTTAGATAGTATTAAACAATCTAAAGAAAGAAACATCATTCTAGGCATAGATTGGATTTTCTTTTTGGATATAGTTATTATGAACTGGTTTGATAATTTTCTTATTAGTACTTAATATCTGCATACTCGCACACAAGCATATATTTTGTGACATTGTTTAATTTATTTTTTGAATCATTCCTTCCATATCACATTTTACTCTTTTGTCATATATCGGGATTCTCTTAGATAAACTTGAATGAAACACTTTCTGCAGCACTGCAGAGCCACTATGCAGTAGTACAGGCTCTGGCCCTTGATGAAGATGAGATGCCCGAAATTAATGATGAAACTCTTCCGGATGAAGAAGGCATGGCTAGGTACTCATACAGTGTTCTATGTTTATGTTTCTTGTTTATTTTAATGATATATATATATATATATATATAGAGAGAGAGAGAGAGAGAGAGAGAAATTTGTGGTGGGTTTGAAGGGCTCTTGTGCCGTACGTAGATTATTAATTCATATATGGGGAATGCATCAATAACACAAGATGACCTCTTGGTGTTGGCTTCTACACTAGACATGGGGTTGAGAGAGGATATTTACCTTTATGCTCAGTCTCTTTATCTCTTGTTGTTAGGCTGATTGGCTGTATCATTGCAGGCCAGGGATTGCTAAAGCGTTGGAAGAATTCAAGGTCTCCGTGTATGGAGAAAACTACGATGAAGAAAATGAAAACACAGCTCAGGGGAAGGCAAATGCTGCCTCCAAGAAAAGGAAAGTGGCTTCTGAAGATGCGCTTGTTAAGTGTGCATACTACGATTGGCCCAAACTTGCAGATGACGGAAAGGTGATTATGAACTTTGTTGTTTGTTATGTTTTGAACATGGCTGTTGAAAAAGCTTTGAAAATATGCTTAAAGAGTCTAGTAGGGTAACTGAAATATTTAATCTCTTTGTACTCTTCACCTACTATATATATACTATGCATATGGGAAAATGATGACTGGTCTACAAGAGTCAGATTGCTGTTGAGTTTCCTCTAAGCTTACATTATACCACAACAAGGGAAAGCAGCGCAGAAAAAAGAAAAGAAATAGTAACTGAATAACATATAGTCAATAGTAATACAGATCAATGAACAGAACCCTTGTAGCCTTCTTTTTCCAGTTGTTTGGTCTATCTGCCCTCCTAGTATATATTCAGCATAATAATCAAGATTATGAGTTATATAGTGTCATTTATCGGCATGCATTTGCACAGGGAGCTAAAGACCGACCAACACGGCCAACCCAACCCAACCCAAAAAAACCGGGGGGAAAAACTCAACCTGAGGTAACCCAACACATAATTGACAAAATTAGCCCAAACCACATGTATTGGGTTAGGGTAATTACGGTAATTTGAACCCAACCCAACCCGATGAATCTAATGCCTTCCTATATCACGGATTTAGTACGATTGTTAAGTCTTTGATTAATGTATGTATATTAGACCAACCCGTGACTAGCTATATTCAAAATTATATTACAATTTCAACCGTAACTTTACTTTCTTATTTGAATCAACTTTCAACTTTGTAAGTCTTTCCTTATATGTTCTCATTTTGATTTTACTCCGTTAAAACAGAACGCTTAGCTAGATTGTAAAATGATGTACCAAAGTTTCAACACGATCAACCCGACCAACCCAACCCGCACGGTTTGGGTTGCTTTGAGATTTTTCAAACTGCAAACATTGAGTAGAGTTGTTCAAATGCCTTCAACCCGGCCAACCCAACCCATGTGCAGCATCTTTTGGAGTTGTGTTTTACTTGAAACATTTGTCCACGTGGTGCCGTATTGATCTTATGTGACTATAATACAACTGGTAATCAGAATTTAGTCTCGGTCCCAACCTGTGGACATATCTGCCACCCTAATGTTTAAGTTTCTATCTTATCCACAAGTAACATTATTATTACCCTTTCGGCCTTATAATCCTTTCTTAGCATCGTTGCTGAAGATAATCTCTTAGATGCATAATTGTTGCCGATTTAATAATTGTGTGACTTTGGATGATGGTTGGTTTGAAGTGTTATTTGTGTGTTGTTGATTGCAGTTGAAGGATTTGACTGTACAGGAGCTGAAATATTACGTTACAGCCCACAAGCTTCCTGTTGCTGGCAAAAAGGAAGCTTTGATCAGTCGGATCTTAACACACATGGGTAAATAAAACCGATATTTGTGTAAGCCATTAGTAAGATTTGTGAAGTCCTCAGAAACCAAATTTTGGTTTGCACGAAACTTGCATCTTGTGTGACCTTCCTTTCTATGGATTATAAGGCAAGTTTTCGCTTACTGATTAATTTGAGGTGAAAACTTCTGCATCTCCTGCCTTTAGACTTCTTCCCAAACTTGCATATTGAGAAATTCTGGACCTCTCCGATCACTCTCCAAAAGAATCCTTGAACATACGTACAGTGCCCCCTCCAACGGAGGCTAGATGGACACAGATTGTCCTAGGGTGTCGAGAGGGGGCTAGCCAGAGTGTCGAGTCCCTAGAGTGGTAAACCTTGGTTCTGATACAATGTGAGAATATGTGGAACCCCTAGATCACTTTTTAAAAGAGTAATTGAGGAGAAACGAAGGCTTCTGAATACAGACAAAGAGAAATGGTCCAAGTTTATCCGATATGGGCACCCAACAAAACCCTAGATATGGGCATCTATAATCAGGCCAAGTAACTAGTCAAGATTAACCAAAACCGGGCTTGTTCTATAACTGGTTATCATGGGAGTGATTGGGCCAGATATGTAAGAGGCCACCAGGTACCGATATCGGTCCTTCATCAGACCTTGTGTAACTGGTTACAATGACTGGTTGTGTAACTGGCTGGAAGGACTGGAAAGGTGCACTACTTTTATTTAACTATGTAGTTTTAAACAGTTTGTTGGAGATTTGAAAAAAAGCTTACTCTAACAGTTATGTTAAACTCTTCTTTAATGCGAGAGAATTGAGAAATCTCATAGTTTAGAAGAAAAAAAATATCAAACTTGTTGGAGTCGTCTGTTTTTAAACAATTTATCTTATTTAAATATACAATAATTAAATAATTAAAAGAACAAATTAACAATTGTTTGGCTTAACCGGTTATGGTAACTCTTGTTATTTCCAGCTTACAACCAATTGTAACCGGGCCTGCCTAGGTTGTGACTTGTCGGGGTTGAGGCCCGATTAGCTCTTTATTATTACTTTATTAGATGGAATTCGATTATAGTCTAATAATGTTTTAAAGGTGCATTTGGTATCTGAAGTGAACAAACCCTTAATAGAGTAAAATGTTTGAATGATTATTTAAAATCTAACGCTCAAGAAAAAAGTCAATGGACTAAAACTGTTGGTTAAAAAATAGTTTAGGGATAAATTTGTAATTTATTATAAAAAAGAAAGCAAAGGGGTTGTAAATGTAAAATGTGATTTATGTTAACCACCCCCCCCGCCCTCTCCCTCTCCCTCTCCCTCTTTTCCAGCATTCTTCGGTGCTTGCCTCCTATGAATTTCTTCCAATCTGTCTTCTCCGACGATCCGGACCCTTCTAGTCCGGAACCCCAATCCCAAAACCCAGAATCGATTCCTCCAAACCCTAGTGCCACCATCCCAGCCATCGCTTCCGCATGGACCTTCGGTAGCGGCTTGATGAAAACCCTAGCCTCCAAGTCCGAGTCCGTCATTGAGACCTACCGTCGTGATCTAGAGGAGTTTAGCTCTGGGATCAAGAAAGAAACAGCCGTGATCCGGGAAGCAGCTGCCCGAGCCGTAAAGGACCTACCGACCTCCCTTGAAGCTGGTGCCGGCTTGGCTCAGGAGTCTCTCGAGTCGGTCGGCCAAGCCATCGACGATCTTGGTAGTACCGTCACCGAAATTATAGCTCAGGGTAAGGATTCGATGCTGGCCGTTGATTATTCTGATACTGATAGTGATGTTACTGATGCTAATATTAATAAGAAAGTCAGTAGTAGGGATGATTTACAGTCTTTGAAACCTTATACTAGACTTGATGCACAAATTCGTACGATTCAAAGTGATATGAGCACGTATTTGAAGGATCCTGAGGACTTGGTCGAATATAATGAATGGAAATCAGGGTTTAAACTTGATGAAAAAGTGGGGGAGATTGATGATATTATGAATGGAAACGATGGAGTGGTTGGGGAGATATATAGAGAGATTGTTCCTGCAAGAGTTGATGAGGATTCGTTTTGGAGTAGATACTTTTATAGGGCTTATAAGATTAATAAGGCAGAAGAGGCGAGGGCTAATCTTGTGAGGAAAGCAATTTCAGGTGAGGAAGATGAAGAATTGAGTTGGGATGTAGATGAAGACGATTATGAAGAAAATGCGGAATCCGACTTGAAGATTGAAGAGAAAGAATCTGTTGAAGATTCTGAAAAAGAAGGGAAGAAATTAGACGATGAGAAAGTGGAATCAAGAAAGGGGAATCAGACAGAATTGGAAGTTGATAACATGGAAGCAAAATCAGATGTGAAAACTGCATCTGAAGGGAAGACGGATAGAGATAGTGATATTTCAGTTGTTTCTAGCCAACCCTCGCCGGAGGAAGATGGATGGGATGAGATTGAAGATATAGGCAGCAGTGATGAAAGCAAGGATAAGGTGGTTTCTCATGGCAGTCCAAAGAGGGCAGAGTTGCACAAGCGATTGAGCGTTGCCCAGGAAGAAGAAGAAGATCTTACATGGGATATTGAAGATGATGATGAGCCTGTTCAAGCATGAAATCCCACAAGTATTTTCACGTTTGATTTATTAATCACCCCATCTTTCGGGGTAATTTATCTGGTAAGTACTTGGATCATGTTCCTTGGTTTCTTTGCTCTTCCTGTTTCTGATGTACATAATGTGACTATATCTTTTAAAGAAGAAATTGCAATTTATTGTCTCCCTTTTTCCTAATAGTATGCTACTCTCTTGCAAACATATTCTATCATACGCATCACACAAGTTTTTAATTTATTTGAAAAATTATGGTATGTGGTAGGTACATTTGGTACGTAGGACATGATGGAACAAAATTTAAGTAGAACAATTCTTTTACCCACCTACCGCCTATCTCACATGTCAGATTAAAACTTTAATACCTTTCACAATTTTTTCTCCCACCTATCTTACTTTTGCCTGTCCAGTCCCGTTTGCAAACCAAACACACCTATCTGTATATGCTGAAACCACATCTTTGATATACTTGTTCCCACCATCGGCTGAGATTTGATGCTTAACTTGCATAGCATATGAGGCAAAGGTCAGCATACATCTAGGTTCCCCCGTGGTGTATTATCTTCTCCCTAATGAGAGAATATTGTGTTTGATTTGTTCCCTTTTAAGTTTCTAGTTGCTTGCATTCACTGGTTTTGCTTATTCATCTGGAGAATCAAGATGCAGGAAGTGATATCATATTGGCAAGGTCCATTGTGATTCTTTGGTTATTAACATGGTAGGACTAGTTGAGTTATTGTCTGCAGTAAGCAATTGTGAATTCTGGAGCATGATTTCAATCCAATTTTCACTTTCTGATGTGGGTTTTATAGTACAAGTCTGTTGAAATATGTAGTTTGTAAATGCGGGGTGTAGATAGATTAGTCGTAACGCATAGATAATTGAATGGGGTTAGTGACTTGGAATTACTGGTAATACCGGCGACTTACAACTATGTAATCCATCTCCGGTGTAAAGCAGAGGGAGAACATCTATGCAATATTTCATTTGATATGAGATATTAGTCTTAACACAAGTCTCTAAAATTTTCAACAATTCTTATTTGGGATATGCAACATGTTTTGTTTCAAATAGCCGGCAAATTCTCTTTTTTAAAGTATATTGTTTCTTATTCGAAACAATATTGACATAGTTTAAGATATGGTATTTTTATTTCGGTTTGGTTGGGTAAACGATTACGATTGTAGTAATGATATGGATTGTTTTAAAATATACCATTTAGCCTTATGCAAACATGTTATTAACAGTAGTAGGATGTTGTGGTTTTTTAGCATTATGCAAAAAATATTTACCTTTTTTTTCTTTCAAAAATACGCACTTCCATCGTGTGATAATCTGAAGTTTGAATATGGCAAACACTATCATTTGAAGTTCTTTTCATACAACGTAACGGACAAAACAAAAAAAGAAAATTCATTTTACCGAATTAAAAAATATGTTTATTTAAAGTAGCAACATTTACAATGCTTGATTCAAAAAAAAAACATTAATAATAATAAATAACAACAAAATGATTTCTTTACCTCTGCACTTTTACCTTACTTAATAACCTTTTCCCGATAGAGTAGTAGTAGTAGTAATAATAATAGTAGTTGTAGTATGCACCTCTGGGACTGGTGTTTCTTTGGCTTCATTTTTCCCTCGATCTACCCAAACTCTTATTCTTTGATGACTTGGAAGTAGTTGTAGAATCGCTATGTTTCTTTCTGCCCGCCGAAGCAGGGTCCACCAAGGGGCCAGACCATGTCTGGATGGGTGCTTTCCCATACGAAAAATTGGAACTGAATGGTACATCTGGAGGATCAAAAGCTGGATCCATGTGCATGTGATGTGATGAACCCAATGGGTACCCAAGTGTCCCATCTTGGTGGGGTGGAGGAAACTTTTCGCTCTTGCTTTTCGCGTTTGCATGTGTGATCAACCGCCGTCTCTGCCAAGGAATCGGATAAACCAAATGGTGTAAGAAACATCTATTGATTGTACTGATAATCTACAACTAAAACCGAAGTCCAAATTGGGCTTCAAGAGAGAATTTGCATGCAATAAGGTAGCTGATAAACCATCTGTTGGCTGAAAAACTAGTTGTTGGTTGATATAGAGGTAAGGTCTGCGTACATACTACCCCCCTCCCAAACACTACCTCCAAATGGGATATACTCGGTTTGTTTCATTTGGTTTGGCTTAGTGATCCAGTCCTACATTATGCTAATATTAGTCCACAAGTAAAGTTTGCATGACATACATCAAGGTTTGTTTGCAGCTCGGCGTTGGCTTCAGGAGCAGGAACTGCCCTTGCAGGTCTTTCACGTGTGCGTGTCTTCTTTGCACCATCAGCATTGGATTTACCAGCAGCTCTCAGTCTACCAAAAAGAACAACAATCGAGTTACAATATGAGTTGATGAACAATTAAAATAACTAGTCAAACTTATTAGATTTCTTTTTGTTTTTGACTTGGTGTCACATCGCACCTTCTAGCTTCTTCATCACGTAGTTTAGCATCCATCTCCTTGCTGGGTGGATATTTCGGGAGGCTTGACGGATCACAAGCATAAGGTTTTGTCGTAAAGAACTGAAAAGGGCAATGCATGATAGTTATTAGTATCAAATGAATCAAACAAAAATCATGCATGAAATCTAAAGCTATACATAAGACATGTATGAATATAATTAACCAGAAAACGTAAATATCCAAGTTGGTCCATGTATCCCTGGCACAGAAGTCAAAGTTGTACGATTTGCTATTGGAACTATGTTGGATCTTTGTGTGGTGCATCTCAATCACTCTGCAATGAATTATATGTTGGATCTTTGTGTGGTGCATCTCAATCACTCTGCAATGAATTCTACCATGCACCGCCTTTTGCCAGAGATATTTCCTTCTGATATAAGATACCTCAGATCTCGCTGTTTCCAGAAGGACCTTCTTTCGACACTAAGAAAAAGATTAGGTTGCCTCTAGGAAGAGTTGGTACACATAAAGGTTCACCTGCTCAGGTGTGGTTTCCCAAGTCTGTAAAAAAGCACGACACTTTTATCTTTAGTATCCTCCTTTTATCTCATTCACCGACCCAGCTCACTAATGATCCTTATGACCCATTGAAGCATGTGTCCAATTTCACACAATGTTTACCTGTATCATTGATATTATATTGCACCTTGCTGGAAATCCTATTTTCTTGGTCAAATTACATGTTATGTAATGTCACAAGGTTCTTCACAAACGGGGATGACATGGTTGATTTGACATTAAATATGAAGGCTCTATCATTTGTAATGTAATGTGGACACCACTTGTGCGATGCAAGCATCAAGAATGCTCATGGTCGATATGACATCCCTTGTTGATGGTTCTGAGGAGGGGAAGGTATCTATAAAGCCAAATCAGACTATAGCTTGATCATTAAGCTGTAAACAAATACACGGATATGTGAGTGAATAGGCTCTCCATACCATCAATCCCATCAAGTCACAAACAAATAGCCCCCAAGTCTTAGAAAAGGTTATAGGTGCTACCCAACATCAAAACCCACACGGTACAACCGAATCCGATAGCCATTCTCTGGTTCTTCCATTTGTTGCATCCAATTAAGGATTACCTATGCTTTCTAGAATGTCTAATTCTGTGACGTGAAGGTACTAAGATTATGGTGGAAAACTGTGTTAAAAAGATACTAGTATGGGGATATATATATATATATATATATGTGTGTGTGTGTGTGTGTGTGTGTGATACAACGATATTGGGATTCAAAGATTCTAAAGAAGAGAAGGATGCAGGAATGTGTTTTTACGTACATAAACAAATATAAAACCATAAGAAATATATTAATCACCACGCTTGTCCTTTTAATTAGTATCATGTCAGATCACCTCCTATTTTCTTCGTCGTAAGATTTGAGTTTATTTTTTAATTCATTGTTGGTTTCTAATTTGAAATTTGTGAACTTTCCTCTCTTTTCTAGTTAAGGGAAGAACAAAGTAATCCATGTTCATATACCTATTCCCATATCCCTGTAAATTAGTGCTCAAATAATTCGGGAATACGATCATGCCTAAGGTGGAAAATGTTGCTTTAACATTATCGCTCTAGTGCTTTGATCAGCATTTCGAATCGAGTTTCAACATAAGCACAAAATTCAGAAATTTTGTAAAGGTTCCACTAATGAGTGGTAATTGACGAATTTAAAACCTAACATATAAAAAAATTCATTTATAGACTAACATTCTAGTGTTAATTCACTCGTATAGAACGTTGACGTTGTAATAATAACGAAGATAAGAAACCCACCAATACACTAACAAGATCTAAATGGTTTTAAAAAGTTGAGTTCAGATATCAGGAGTTTACTAAGGAAAAAGAAATGAAGTAAAATGTATAGTAGAATAAGGCAACTTCAAACAGATAATGAATAATAATACCATTCCCTTTTTGCCCCTTTGTAACATAAAAGTCAAAATTCCTACATTAGCCCCTGCACCTCTCTTAACTACTGCTATTACATCCATATTAGAACACTACTATCAACTCTACCCTTCTCTCCTCCTAGTATATGTATCTAATAGCCGCTACACCGCTATATATTAATTAAGTCATCCCACCACCACATCCAACTTTGTGAAAACATTCTCATCAATTCAGCTGGTGCACCAAGGCTCATTTAACTTTGCAATGGGTGGGGATGGAAGTCTTTGTACGTGTACTTTCCCTTGGAATCTGAAAGTCTTCAGAAGATAGGAAAAAATCCAAGAAAGCTCGACCTATGGGGCTTTATGATGTTAAGCAATCAAGCAAAGAAAAAAGATCTAGGCACGACAACCGCTTCTTGAGATGCAGTTTCCAGCTAGTAGTGAGTTAAACGTAGTAAAGTTTGGTTTACCTTTCTTATATATAAATAAGATCAAGAAGCCTAAAAGAGGAAATACTAACACCACAACAAAGAAAGGTAAACCAAACTTTACTACGTTTAACACACTACTAGCTGGAAACTGCATCTCAAGAAGCATATATATATATATATATATATATATCTCCTTTAGAAAGTAATAAGAAAAACATTACCGGATTTGAGCGTTACCATGAAGAGACCTTCATGTTAACACTCAAATCTGGTAATGTAGAGATTAAAATTTGAAACATCGTCAAAACCAACAAATTGATCATCCAGGTTCAAAGAAACTTAACTTCCACATCAAGGGCCGTTCCCTAGTATATTAAAAGCGAGATTTTGAACATGGCCCCTAAAATTTTGGGGTCCAATATTACGTGTGTTTTAGGGCCTTACATCAACCTGTGTACAACTATAACCCAAATGGTTCAGGTTCAAATTGGTTCAAATTATTAATTGCTTAGGTTTAGGTTCAAATTATTGATGGTTTAAGTTAGGTTCAGATTGTTAATAACATATATTTATCCATGTTATCTCACTATGCAATGTAATCAAAAGCTTTGGATGTAGTAGGGCCTCCAAAAAGATTGGAACATCCCTGTTCCACGTGCTAAAGGAAACAATAGATCTCTCACCTTGGGAATCTGTTTCCAACTGGAAACCTGTAATTCTAATAACTTCAAAGCTCAATATTATGATTAAAAATTTGATAATGTGATATCGCAAACAGAAAAAAGAAAACTTTGTGTCCTACTTGCCATACGGTTGGCTTGTTATTCTTACAGATAAAATCTCTTCAGTTATTGAATCTGCAGTATGTTCTTAAATGTCTAGCTTTATTAACCTTCAGAAAAAATAGTAAAAAACGAGGGAAAAGGATGTGATTTTGATAGATAGTTATAACATGAATTATCAGAAAGCAGGCACAGTAGAACTTATTTTGCAAGAAAGAGAAGCAACAGAACAAGACTAATATGTTATCTTGATATAAAAGAATTAACCAAGTATTAGATCGACCAAAATGAAAAACGATAGGTTGGACACTTACTTCACTTCCCAAAGCAGTCGTTGCAGTTAGACGTTCAGCTGGATCAATAGCGAGAAGGGTATCAATTAGTGGTAATGATGATGGTGGAAAATCTTTGAATGTCTCTGCTATGCATCTTCTATACGACTGTTGAGGCTTAAATATGGTTGCATGTGGAAGCTTTGACTTTTTCCAGTATTCGTCAGAAGGGGAACCACATAACTTGAAGATCTTGTGAAGCTGTTCAACCTGGGTGCAAGGGAGCAAAGAGTAATATGACATAAGGAGTAACAGAAATCAGAAGACTCGATAGAAAACCTGGCAAGTCCAACCAAACAAATGCAGAGAAATAAAGTCAGTAACCATTCCCACACCCTCCTTCCTGATTGTGCATGGCTCCAAAAAAGACCATGGCATACACTTTACATAGACGATCATTTGAAGGAATAATGGACATCTGCTCCAATGAATGTAGTACGTAAATTAATACTTCATCTCCCTATTATGGTCCATGCAAGCTCTGATAAAGAGCACTGCTACACATGGTTTTAAAACAGCACCTGAGGCGGTGCCTCTTGGACCCTGGACGAGGCTTACGCCTTCGTTCAGTGAGGTGGTTTGGTGAGGCGTGAAGCGGTGTTGAGGCGTACGCCTCAGATCTGCTTTGATAAAGGTTTTTTGGCTTTTTTATAAGCTTTATGACAGCAGTAGTACTTCTCTTTATAGCACACGTGTCTTTATTTTAAAAAACTAAAAGTCAAAGCCCAATGACCCCAATGTGTACTCTTAATAGTTTAAAACCCAAAAAGCTAGTACTTTCTCCTCTCAATCAAAAAGTGTGGTTTGACCCTTCCTCTTCCTCCAAGCAACCAATTTTTCCACACCCTCTCAGCCTATCTCACAGTTTCACTCTTTTCTCAGTGAAGGACCCAGCAATTTAGTATTATATATATTGTATATGAATGTGTGTGTATATATATATATATATATTTGTGTAGTATGCATACATATTTTGGTGTACATATATTTCCACCCTTACGCCTCGGACCGCCCCGAGGCTTACGCCTCAAGGACCGATTCCTCCTTTTAAAACCTTGCTCTGACACCCACATAAAGGAATACAGGTCGCATGCTATAGCAAATACAATCTTAAATTAAACCAAACCAGACGAACGCAATATATCCCACACACAGCCCAAGGTAGGTTCTGGGGCGGGTAGGATGTAGGAATATCTTACATCTTACCCTTGGGGTAGAGGTAAGATGCCACTAAAACTAAGGTCAGTAGAGAGGTTGTTTCCATAAAGACTCCTGGCTTGCAGAACAAAGATTAGCAGGGAACCAGTGCGGTAAGTAGTAGCCAAGTGTGTGCAAACAAGTAACAGGTCAGTACAATGGGAAAAAAAAACTACTAAAGCAGGGGGAACACTATGTCTGACAACAGTAAAAGCAACTAAATCTAAGGTCGGTATATGGTCAAAACAGAAAATACCAAGACGGACAAACAGTAAAGGATCCCACAAGTAGATGCATAAATAAGATAGGGAAGGTAAGCGGAACTAACACTGCCCTCTTTCTAAATAGAGAATACATATCAAAGAACAAAGAGCAGGATGACAGGGATAAACTCTAAAATACCTGTAGAGCAGCCATCCCCATGGTGCTTCCAATCAATAAACTACCCAAATATAAAAAAATTGTATTCACATAAACATGCACAGCTATAAACTAACATCACCCTCAACATATAGATATCAAATAATCAACAACTACATGATAAAATGAGTTCAAGTGATGAACAGGGTTAACTTCCAGGACAATTTCAGAGTCGAATAGCTGTAATAGAAATGTAAGAGATTGTTAGTTACCTCTGTACGACCAGGCATTATAGGTTTCCCAGCCAATAACTCTGCCAAAATGCAACCTGCGCTCCATAGGTCAATACCTACACCATAATCAGTAGCTCCAAGAAGAAGCTCTGGTGGTCTATACCATAATGTAACCACCCGACTAGTCATTGGCTGCTTGTGGTTGGGATCAAAGAAGGATGCTAAACCGAAATCAGCAATCTTTAGAACCCCACCATTATCAAGAAGAAGATTTGACCCCTTGATATCCCGATGTAAAACGTGGCGGTTGTGACAATGTTCAAGCCCAGACAATAGCTGATGCATATAACATTTAACCTACAACATTCATGGAAGCTTAACATGAATAAACCAGCTGTATCCAAACAACATTAACCAGACCCCTCTCCCCAGTGAGCACCCATCAGTTGATTCAAAAAAAGTAACAGAATCTAACCTGAGGCTCCGTAAATTTGATTGTAGGACTCGCAGCAAGTCCAGCCAAATCGTGTTCCATGTACTCAAAAACAAGGTACAAACTACAAGACATCCTTGATGTCACTAGGCCTTCCAATTTCACAACATTTGGATGATCTAGACGGCGTAATATCAAAATCTCTCTGGCCATGAACTTCACACTCTCGGGCTCCAAATTGTCAAACCGTACCTTCTTCAATGCAACAATTTTTCCTGTCATGGTATCCTTAGCTTTGTACACATTACTGTATGTACCTTGTCCAATCTAATCACATCACAATATATACCGTAATCAATAAATGTCAAGCACAGTGAAAATGTTAGTCATCACAAAGCTAATTTGTTCATTGGCAAATTTAACCGACTATGATAACTCAAAAATGTATAGATAGGGTCGGGTTCAGGGGAAAACCGCAAAAAAAATGAAAAACTGGGGAACACCCCGGTGAGCATTCATCTATGCACATGTGCATACAAGTAATTTGTGAGTAATTTTTTCAGTATGCACGGGTACATAACATGCACGGGTGTATAGAAAGTAGAAACTAATAAACAACTTCAATTACTCATATGCACATGTGCATACGTCCAGATGAATGGTTATCAAAGTGATCCTCAGTTTTTTCATTTTTTTGGGGTTCAAAACTGACATGTGGATACCGTCTTCCTCAGTTTTTCATTTTTTGGGGTTTCGCTGAACCTCCCCTCTCCCCCCCCTCTCTCTCTCTCTCTCTCTCTCTCTATATATATATATATATATATATCACTTCAGATTGACCCTATATACATGCCAAATCTCTCTTGTGATATAAAACAATTGATCAGAAGAGTAATAAATACACTTCAACTCCGACAAAAAGATTCAAAGAAAACTGTAACATTACTTGCCTTGTCGATTTTCTCAAAAGTATCAGCTCTCCGAGGTGTCCACCCATTGATGGCTTCTCCGGCAACAGCAGATAGCCAAGCTGGCCATCCAGCAGCAATTTGTTCACCGTGGATGTTCTTGGGTGGATTACTGAGTCTAGGATTCGGCTTTGAGCGCCTTCTTTCACCTCTTGGCCTCACACTTCCATCTTTCTCCCCTTTCCGATCCACTCCATTTTGTGGCTCACCACCAGCAGTGCCAACGTTGCTACTATCAGGATTTGCCACTAAAGATCCATCTCCTCTCCCAGAATGAATTCTTTCTCTCCTCTTCTCTGCGACGATCTCAGAACTCGCTGGCCCAGAAGACGAAATCTCTTTGCCAAATACACAACCCATGGCTACACACATTAAAAACCCTAACCCTCATTTCTCATCACATTCCGAGACAATTCCCTTGATATACACCTGAATAATGATGCGGCAGAGCATATTCCAACAGCAATGAATGAAGTTGAATAATGGGTTTGGATGAAGATGCGGGGGTTGATGAGATGAACCCTAGATTTCTTTTTCTTTTTCTTTTTTCTTGTTTGCCCAACAAAGCAAGGGCAGCAATGATGTAGAGGTATAAAGCCCACAATTTATGGCGGTCAAAAATGAAGAAAAACAAAAAGTTGATAGAACTGTAGAGCTTTAATTGTGGTGGTGTTAACAAAATGAAATGGTATTGGGTAATGAAAGTACGAGTTGGGAATAAAAGAGACAGATCGTAGCTTACTTACGTACGACTTTCTTCAAGGGATTTGGTGGAATTGCAGAGTGACAGAGAGAGCTGATCTGCTCCCTCAACCTCTTCTGCTTTCTCTCTCCTTTGCTTTTTTTATCAATCGATCCATCACGCAATTTCAACTACGCTCAAATATTATTATTATTATTTCTATTTCAATTTCAAACCTCTCATGTCATGGGTATGGGTATACATAAAAAAAAAAAAAAAAAAAAACAATCATTTTTTACCTTTTTCATCATCAATCAATTTAAAGTTGGTTTTTTATTAAGTCTAAATTATCTGTGTATAGATTAATTTGTTTGTATATATTGAAAGATTTTCATTTGGAATAGTTTTTCCATACAATTTTGAGATTCCATTACAATACTCATCAATTAATATTGTGTGTTTGAACCAAGTGGGGCGAGAGAAACATGGGAGTGAAGTAGAAGATAGGCCATTGCAGTAGCCACCCGATGACAAAATTTATCCAACACGTTACAAACCTTTCCCCATTGTATGTGTGAGTTGCCGGTAAGACCAACACCACCAATTGTCGAGAAAAGAAGCGCCACCATTACCAGGTATCAAAATGGTTACCATCAAAGACACGTTTTTGTTTCCGCCTTTAGTTGCTAATGTAAGGATCAAAGACGCTGTTGTATCACAATTGCATTTGCAATTACAAAGTACCTGTAAGCAATAAATTAATGATCCATTTAAATGAATTAATCTGTATCAACGTAACGCATGCGATCTGACATGGATCATTTAGACAACCAATACGAAGAAAAATGAAGATTGTTCGTCAAATATATTTGTACTCAACTACAAGTAAAAAAGATGTCAAAATAGTTGAATAAAGTAGTTATATGACATCATAAAACTGACTTTCTTTACAATTCTTTTGGCAATGTTTTATTTTATATAGTTGAGTCTTCAATTTGCCTATGAAAAGCAAATTGCATCTTAAAAATACATGGAGTTATCTTTCATTTGCCATTTAAAGAACATTTTGGAAAGAGATTTTTAAGAGTCTGTAATTTGAATTTTGAAAAATAATCAATAATTTTAAACAGGCAAATTCTCAAGGCTGGTTATGCTTCGGAGATGTATTGGAAAATTTTATCTATTTCGTGATTTGAATCCCGACATCGTCAAAACCATTGTGGTCATGGAGGTTCAGTTACGATGATTCTAGGTCATTCATTGTTACTTAGGTATTAGTCGGTGCACATAAACTGACTCGAAAATCCACGATTATCGAATAAAAGTACGAGTGATTGTGAGAGAAATACAATATAAAAAGTAGGTGGGAGCACATGTTTGTGGGAAATTGAATTCGAGATGTTAAATGATGCAACGTATTTTAATGCACGACTAGATAACATATTCTAATAAAAATTGCAAACGTAAAAATAAATATATGTAACGATTGAAATTGACATCAAGTCTATGATAAATAACACATCATTGACTCCACCTCCAAAATACACGGAATCCGTATCTTATTTATTATACATTTTTTTTCCAAATAAATAGATAAATGCTATATTGTTACACATCAAACTCAGAGTCAGATAATATATATTATATACGTTGCTTATTTTTCTTCATTTAAAATACAAAGAAAATTGAATGTTATAATATACGAAACCATTGAGAAGAAAGTGTCCAACTCTAACTTATATAAAATTTCAGGGTTGAAATTAAATTTTCATTTCAATATCGAAAGTCTGGAATTTAAAACATTCATCAACTAATAAAAAGTAATTTATCTATAAATCATGGAATTCAATTTCATTCTTAATCATACTCCAATTTCTTGCTCAAGAACTATATCTTTCAAAAACATTCCGGACCCTAACAGATTTTTGTATTGAAATCAATACTGTAGAAAAATTAATAATCTCCTCATTCCATTTCAACATGTAATATATATGAACACATAGAATATGTATACGAATAAAAGTTGATATACAACCGATCATATCTGTATGAACCCAGAATACAAAGATTTTTAAAATGTATAAATTATTAATGTATTTGTTTAAATAAATATATAAAGTATGGTTTATACAATAACAATAACCAAATAAGAGAATAAAAAATCATGTATAAAATCACACGCTAAGTATGGCCGCAACCCAAGAACTTTCACATTGATTATTATTGTAAAATCACATATGATTTTGTACATGATTTGATCATTTTAATGTTAGTTACCGTACATTCATCTTTAATAATAATAATAATAAATGAAGGCCTAAAATTGCAATAACTTTTACATGTATGTAACCAACGGCCAAAATGAAGGGAGTTGCTGAAGGGAGAGAGTACGTACACAATGGGAGACATGTGAAGCCAGTTGAGCGAGGGGACGATGGTGACACTGACGGTTGTAGATTGCTTATTCAGTCGGAGAAGTTAAAGCCCAGCGCCAAAAACCTCTCACCACCAAATCCGTACGCCTCCCTTCCCCACCAGGCCATACCTTGAACTTGAACTGCATCTCCATATTTCTGAATTAACTACCCCCAACCCAATACATATATATATATATATATATATATATCCTTTTTTGTCAACAAATAGCGTTTGGTGTAGAAACTATTGCATTTGCAAATTTCTAAACTAAAAGAAATATGTTATTATAAGAAAATTTGTAAACTTGATGATTATTATTATCATCTCCAATTGGAAAAATGTCAAATTCACATTTTTCTCCACTCAAAACATATTATAAGCACGCACCTCATCAACAAACAAATCTTTTGTTCAAACATGTAATTAACTATATATATATTTGCAAAGTCACATACGATACCATCATCAACTGAAACTCTCAGAAAATTGCTTGTTCCCCTAGCTCTTGCCCACTCATCCCTTCCTCCACTACCTTCTTGAAGAATTCTTCCAATGTATCCTTCCCGTAACTCGGCGTCTTCTCCGCACTGTATTCCTTACTTTCCGCATCATAACTCAGCATACTCTCTGCTGCATAATACCTCCCTATCTTCCCAAATTCTGCTGCATCTTCCAACGAAGGAAATATACTCGCAAGAAAATCCATAACCCCTATCGCAAAATCCATGATCTCGATCGGCACTTTGATGAAAAATGGCTTCTTTCCCACAAGTTTAAACAGCATCTCCCCTTGTTCCAATGGTGTCAATGCCTTCCCAGGTCCACCGATGGGCAAAATCTGGTTCATCTTCTCCCTATTCACCACGCAATCTGCGATAAACGAAGCCAAATCTGGCTCGCTTATCGGCTTACAAGCACACAATTTCCCATCTCCAAACATCACATATGGCTTCCCATCTTTCACCAGCTCAACTTGACCTCCTAAGCTTTTGAAAAATGCTGTTGGCCTAACAATGCTGTAGCTAAAACCATCATCTTCCTCGGCTTCTTTCACCAATTCCGATTCGAATTTCAACTTGGCTCGTTGGAATTCAAGAAGGGGTTTTTGCACACAGATTGCAGATAACAGAACGAAATGTTGAGCCCCAAACTTCCTACCAGCTAAAAGACTGTTCTTGGTGGCTTCATAATCGATTTTCCAAGAATCTTTAACGCCTCCAGATCGGCTAGCAAGACAAGATACAACAACATCAATCGAAACCCCCAAATTTTGTAAACTTTTCTGCAAAAGATCCAATTGGGTGACATCTGAAAAGCAAACATTGGCTCCATTTAGCTTGTTCAAGGTCTCTTCTTTGCTGTTTCTACCTCTGATTCCACTATTTTCTCTACAAACTGCAATTACATTAAACCCTCTATGAACAAGTTCTTTAACCACAAAATTTCCAATGTACCCAGTTGAACCCACAACTAAAACGTTGATTTCTTTAGGGTTTTTGTCTCTGAATGAAGATTTAAGAGGCGATTCAGGGGTTGTGAGAGCTGAAGCAGTTATAAGATTGGGTCTTTTTCGAACGAAGATGGAGGTTTTAGATAGACGTAAAGGAAGAAAAGCAAATGGGTATGAACTTACTTGAATTTGATTTGGGTGACGAGAAGAAAGAAGATTCTTGAAGGTGGGAGTTGAAGAACCGAGTGTGATGCCATTGCCATAGAAGGAGGAAGAAGTGGACATGGTTTAATTGTTTTGAAGGAAAGACGGAAATAAGGGGGTTTCTACTTTCTAGGAGGAAACATATTTTTCCATTTATCTCCTTTTCTATCAAAGACGAATCCAAATGATTGGTTGGTGTTCAAGCCCCATTTTCACAACTTCTTCTCCATATTAAACACTAATAAATAAATAAATAAATAAAAGATTGTTTGATTTTATATAATATTCGATTTTAATAAACAGATAAATATTTTTATTTTTGATTAAGATATAAATTCGAAGATTTCATAAAAGAAATTGAAAAAAATATATAATATAATATTAATAAGAAATAAAGTATTTAAAACTTGTCATTTTTGGTGTAATTTATTTTTTTAATTATAATTTAATTTATGTTTAAAAATAAACCAATCAACCAAATAGTGTAAAATTAATTAAATAAATAAATAGATGAAATCAAATATATGTATCATCTCAATCTCAATCTCAATCTCAAAATCAAATATTATGAATATAATAAAAGAAGTAAGTGTGGTATTGTGAGTATCCTTACATAAGGGGAGGGAGGTTTAAGTATTACTCAAATCTTGAAATAAGATTGAGTTTCATCATCTCACATTGGTGAAAAGATGATAGATCAAAAAAGTACGTAAAGATTAACAAATAATACGATTTGTCTTTGCAACTATTTACTAAAAGAAGTGCCTAATTTAGATTAAGAAAAAGAAATAATATGCAAATTGTTTGAATACTAGATATTAAGCATCTTGTGGCCTGGTACTGGTATGATATACCATTACATCGTCACTCCAAGAGTTAAAATATGATCATAGTGTTTGGCATGGAAAGCAAGCTCTGAAAATAGTTTTTGATATTGTTAAATTTGATTCTATTTTTATTTTTATTTGTCTTCTCCTCATATTAAGGCAACAATCGATATGCCTATCTTTGAAAACTAGTAATAACTAAACCTCGTCTATCAAAATTCAATGCAATAGCATTAGATACAGAGGTCATTCAAATGATTGTCAATTAGAATTGAACAATCAACTAAGAGCGAATGAGACTTAAGTATTCTCAAATGTTGAAATGCAATGCGTTTCAATTCTCGCTCATTAGTGACATATAAATCAATTATCTTCCATCGTGACTTTGTTATATATTTTCTAACAAAATAAATGCGATCACGCATAGTATTTAATGTAATTGAGGTGGATGTGTGGGTGTAACAAGGTGATTTTGAGATTCATGTTTTAGAAAAATCTAAACAATTTTTAAGAAATTTAACCATTTATGTTTAAACATGCATTTCAAATTTTCTTTTTCTAATAAAAATTATATTAATTTTCAATTTTCGATCAGTAACGTTTAAGTATGTATTTAGAAAATATAACATTGGAGTCGGGTTTAACGAGAACATATTATATTTAAGAGAATTAAAAAAAAAAAAAAAGTTAAATCACAGGTGATTTTACATATCACGACTTCACCCCACGACCTGAAATCGCATCCAAAGTCACATGCATACCTTTTTTAATCGTCAATGTAAAATCACACATAATTTGACTGTCTCCGTATTTTCTTAAGCAGTTATCATTTTCGTTCAATCCTCCCTCTGTGACATTATGTTCTTAAAACAACCTGTTTGCACAAAAATTGACCATATTAGCCAAGAAATGGACCTGCCTAAAATCAAGAGAGTCAAAACCACCCTCTTGACTAAGGGCTTTCACGATTCAAACATTTAATCCAAATCAAGGGTTGAATCAAACTAGGAAATCATAATCTTTATACTTTTGCCATCATCCAATATAATTTTGATCTAATTTGACAATTTAAAACAAACTTTTCAAATGATTATATATTATTTACCGGATTAAAATGAAATAATTTATAATGAAAAGACATTTTTTTTTTGTTTTTCTTCTAGGCGAATACAATATTGAGATTTTTTCCCGAAACACGATTGGGTTGCAAGACCACTTCAAGCTCTATGCCTTCTATTAGTTAGCCACGAAAAAACCCCCCAAGCAGCGTAGTTTTTTGAAACGAGAACATCGGATGCAATATAAAGACAATTAAGTTCGACTTTCAACTTAATGATTCTTAAGCTCGAGTCGACTTAGAAACATAAAGTAAAACTTGTTTAACTTAACAAGGCACAAACGTTCAATTCGGCTCGTTAAAAAGCTTGAACAATTTTTCCGAGTCAAGTCGAGCCATAAAAGCATGCACTTCTTGAGCCGAGCCGAACATATCCATACGTTCGCACTTCATAAATCATACAATATTAAAATGTAATACTTGACAAACTCTAATCAATAAACGAGTTAATCGATCTCGAGTTATATCACAAATACCAACTTATAAAGCTTGAAGTTTACGTCAAGAAGGCATAACTCAGAATTGTTAAACGAACATCGAATTCAAGCTTGGACAATGACAAAATTCTGTAAATGAAATATTCAAGCTCAGACTTGATATTATTTTCTCGAGACTAACCCAAACAACTTGATACTTGGCTCGTTAACACCGATAATCTTTTTTTGAGTTCTTAAATTTGACTTCTATAATGGTTATATAATTATAACCGGGATCCATCTTATGCCAGCTACAAACCAAAATCATTAATAACTTGTACATATCTCCACTCCATTGTGACCTAACAAAGTTACAACTTATAACAGGGACTTGTTGAATCGAACATGAACCACAGCAACAGCAATTAGAAACTAGAAACTAGAACCGATTAAAGATACTGATTTCGAAATTAGAATCAAACTATGGGTTTTGGCAGCAGCCACACGACTGCAGTTAGGTTAACAGAAAACCGTATCCAAACCCTCTTGTTTCATAAGAAGATATGCAAGGGCCTGCCCATTGGGTTCTAGTATATGCATTACCTATGAAAAGAAGGCAATCCCAGTCATTTGACTGGGGGCTGTTTAACTTAATCCACACGAGTGGAGAAAGAATTACATCAAAAATATATAAGTTTCGGAATCTGTTTGTCGAATGTATATATAGTGCAAGAAACAAGCCCGTATTTGTTGACTCTCATTCTTGAGGAAGAACAGGAGGGGCGATGGTGCGGGTGTTATAAGAATTGCAGTGGCAACATTTCTGCCCCATTATATGGAAGAAAACTTCGGTAGTGTCATTGCAGTCGTTACACAGGATCCAAACCTGCAATTTTTCCACATCTCGAATGAGTTCTCTTTCAAGAAAAGAACAATAATAAGCAAAAAGCTACTTCAATAGAATTTAAGGGATAATCTTAAGGGTTAATACCTTCTTGTGCCTGTAATCTTCAGGCATGGCAGTAGCTTCAATCTGAGAAACAAAATAAACGAACTTGTATAAAAGAAAGAATGCTGTTTAAAACTTGAAACGAACCACAACAATAATAAGAGAAAAACCCTCTATAAAACTTGTTTGTATTTGATGGTAAATGCGGATATATTACAATAACCCCCGTCTTTAGAATGTTGGGAGTCTCCCATCGGCTAGACATGGATCATTAAACCTCTATATATGAAAGTACCTCCCATCTCTCTATAAGGGCTCTTTTTGGACAGGGGTTCCACATATTCTCGCATGGTATCAAACACATACCATAAAACCTCTATATCAGTAGAAATCTCCATTTTATCTCTAATGACTCTATTAGAGAGAGACTCAAAGGGGATTCTACATAGTGGAAAATGAACATCACCAATCAAGATCAAAGCATAAAGGTATGAAAACAGACCCAACGTCTTTCTACGAACATACATTCCACACAAAAGTATAAGTGTAATGCACAAGAACCGAATAGAGAATGAGCTCATTTTGCAAAAACATGGAGTAAACTACAAATGAAACTAATCCACAAGCATTGATTTTATAGACACACCTCCTCATCCAGTCTCTTCCAAATCCAGGACATATCCATTACTGACTTTGAGCATATAGGGCAGGAGAATCTGTAAAAAGAGTTATCAAAATTTAGCAAAAATATACAAGATACAAAAATGAACCAGGGGAGTCATACAAATGCTTACTTCTGACGCTTAACCATCTCCTGAAAGCATTCACGGTGCATCGTATGCCCACATTTCATGACATTAGTGTCTTTCAGTGAGTCGAATAGGTACTGTAAATGCAGTGGTGGGATTATTAGAAGTCTCATGTTACTCAGAAACCAATGAACGATCATAAATAAATAAGAAAATGAAAAATGAAAAGGAACAAACCTCGTAACATATAGGACAGTGATGCCGCATAGAATTTTCAACACATGAATGATTGTCACGTAAACTTAGAGAATAGCAAGATCCTGAATGGAATAGTGTGACAAGAAGGATTCTAACATAAACTTTAAGCATATAAAAAAAAAACATGTCTGAGTGATGTAATTTGATGGCAAAATGGGACTCACGTGGCTCCTAGAAGTCAAATCTGGATCTTTTTGATAAGATGGGGGTGTTATGGGACAACTAACGAGTTATTACAAATGCAAAAAAAATGCAATAAGTTGATGATGAGTGACGGCAACTAATCTGATCACATAACCTCCAGGGGTTGGCCTAATGGGTAAGACTTGAGATATGGATGTCACACATTGCAATTTGCAAGTTCTAATAGCATATGCAGGAACAGTCCTTAAATACCACATACAATGGTATAAAAAAATACTAAATTGATCGAATCATAGGTACAGAAATTGATGCATACCGCACTTCTTGCAATGGAAAAAATTCTCACGACCGCCAACTCTAAAAAAACCAAAGTTTGGAACTTGGATGAGATTGATTAAATAAGCATCTTAATAGGACAGATAAACAAAGTAATAAACAGATAGAATACAATCTTCTTGCAAATAAGCCCACTGACCTGCAGATACCACATTCATCGCAGTGGAACTGCCCCTTGTCGCTCTGCAATGTGAAAGTTAGAATCAATGAAACAGAAACCTATAAAAAGCAAAGGGTATGTGAAATGATTTGGTTGATACATCATCATCATAGAATTTACAAATTTCACAAAAATAGTCTCCCATGTTGACACCACAGTTTGTGCAGACACGAGCAACCTAAACAACGACGAAACACTTGTAAATCCAAGGACAAAGTGAAGAAAACTAAAGAAATCGGTTCTAGTTTGAGTCACAGAAATATACCGGCTGCTCAGTGTCACAAACTGAACAAATAACCTGCAACAAACATGAATGTCGTCACAACCAAAAGGCATATAACACTTAATGTAGCAATATATCAATGCAACCAGATAACGATTCAAGCAACATACAGTTTACAGAACACTTGTACCAAACCAGAAAGAAAAACAGAACCAAGCCGAGGATTGTGTTTGAAAACAGACCCCTTTTCTGTTTCCCGTATACTTCCGCTTATGGCATTCCAAAAAGAGTTATGAGATGGGAAGTAGCAGAAATTTCTAGTTGACCGTGGTGTGGGATCCGCAGCCAATTGAGGTCCAAGATTTATGGAGAGAGCATTCTAGCCTATGGTGTAGATTACTCCTCTCCAACAAATCAGGAATTCATATATAAACACATATTCAGTTTCCATTCTCCCCCTTTGTGAGATAAATTCCCAACATCCCCCAGTTGTTATCTTGAAACTAGAAACCTAGAGATCAGTTTTTCATTCACCATATGTGATATATGAAAACTAACAACATATTCCCAAATGTGGCTTGGAATACATATTGAATTTCAAATACAGATTGAACATCAAATACAAGGAAATTTGATGCCTGGTACTTACTTGCTTTACATCACATCGAACAAGATCATGCCGATCGGATGGGCTGTTCAACATGTTCTGAAGAAAAAAAAAAGAACAGCATAAGAAGAAGGATGCAACAAGCTACAAAAATCTAATCGTCGATTGGGAACTATTCAAGGACTCGAAAATAGATCTAAAAGTAGGTCAAAGACGATCAAATCAATGAATACATTGAGTTAATAATACTAGTTACAAGATGAAGAACGGTCTAATTGAACAGAAGGCAGAAAGAATAGATTAGTACCGTAACCTCATTGTGACAATGGCGACAACCAAAGATCTCGTTGCAACAGGGAGCACGAATCATACATCTTCTTCGATAGTGCTTGCATCTAAACAAAGGAAACAAATTGAAATAAGATTACTCGAAATTATAAGCAGCAAGAAAGAGTATTTGGGAAGAATACCCATAACCCATCTTCCCGAAATCCGAACGTTCCATTGGATTGGAAGTACGTAGCAGGCTCGGTTTGCGAAGATGACGATTGATTGCAATCAGTCAAATCTTTACCCAATCGTCATACAACTGCAACCCTTCCTTTTATTTATTTAGGTGAAACTACAATTTTGGTCCCTAAGGTTTAAATAAAATTACAAACAGTGTTCTCTAAATTTTGCTTCGACATTTATCCCTGTTACTTGGTTGCTTCTTTTCCATATTTTTTTCTTTAATAGAATAAAAAGTATACTTTATTACATTTTTAATAAGAAGCTCAATCTCATTTGAGAACTTTATATATTATGATAAATGTGAGAATTATTATCGTGATGTATTGTCATACATTTTTTTTTTATCTAAGACTATATAACTTTATATATATATATATATATATATATATATAGTTCTCCCATCTTTAATAATCTATATTATCTTATTAAACAAATTCATCAAAAGTCTTAAAGTCTTAAAATTCTAAATGACAAAGATACCCTTTTCACTTTTTCACCCATTCCTCTTCTCACATACTACTCACCCTCTCACATACATTTACCTCTCACATTCAATGGATTTTTTTTAAGATTATAATTTTAAATTTACATTTTATATCTCTATAATTAGTTAATTAATTATTTTACGTCATTTACTTTTAAATGTTTTATTTTAAACTTTTATCAAATTAACATACATAATCGTATATAAAATAAAATATGTTTAAAAAATATATTTTTATTTTAACAAGTTACACTATTATAATCGTCTCGTTAATACATTCGAAATGAGTCTAATATTGAATAGTTTTTGACTTAATTATATTATTATATATTATATATATTGTGAAAAAATATTTTTAATGTTTACGATTTATACTTTTATAGTTATTTATTTATATATATGTTATACATTTTGGGATTAGGCTGTCCAAATTGCACTGTATAATATGTTCTTGGGTTTTTTTGAAATATATATATATACATGTATTRATTCAACCTTAATCTGAGCTTCTGGACAAGAAAGAGGGTAAGCAGTTGAAATTTCATTCTAAAACCCATCTTTTTTGGTCTTTTCATAGCTTATGATATGTCAAATTTGTAGTTTTCTTTATTGGTTTTGAATGTTTATCTTAAAACTAAAGTTTTTTGGTTCTTTGCTCTTGGTGTAAATCGAACACATTTGTGAAGTCGTTTAAATATGTTGAATTTTAAATATATTGGATTTTAAACTGTCATACAATTTTTTTCATCGATAGTCTGTAATTAGAACCATAACTCTTATTTATTCATATTGTATTAATATGTAAAGATCAAGTGTAACCTATATCATCGTTAAATCTTGTCTTATAAAATCAGTGAAACTTCAAAAATCGTTAAAATTTATGGCTCCCGCCGCATTGCGCGGGTACACAACTAGTATATATATATATATATATATACACACACATATAAATTATTGGTGTGCAAAGCAATAATCCATCAACCCACTACTACTCTAGCATAACTTCACATCTTTAATGACGGGAAAGTCCGACCCCAAAAAAACCACCACCTTATTAGAAAGATAAGACACGAGCCTTATATGATGTATCTTCAACTACAACTCAAGCAAATCACTTCAATTTTTACCTTTTTTTTGTTCTTCAAACTTTGTCATTTATGAATCAACGTTCTTTACTCTTTCCTCAATAGTGAAATTCATGTAAGTAAGTAAACAATGGTCCAGTTGCCAACATGAGTTTGAGGCTTCAAGTTAAATAATAAGGAAACACACAGTTCGATATAACCTACTAGTAATGCTAAAACATCAAATAAGATGGGTCATATTATGTTTGGATTTGGAAGCTAAATATATCGGTCCAAGAGATTCAAGGTTAAAAACTGTCATTTAGTTAAGAAAAAAGTCTAAAACAACTCAACCAACTTTCCATTTTGAATGGTTTAGTCCCTAATTTATTTATTTTTTAATGAAAACCCCGTTAAACTTTCTCATTATGAATGATTAAGTACTTCAACTATTTTTTTAATAAAAAAACTATTACAAATTTTCATTTTTAATAGAAAAAACCATTAAACTTTATTATTTTAAATAATTAAGACCCTTAATTTATTTTTTAATAAATAAACCATTAAACTTTTACTAATTAGTCATATATAACCTTTTTCCCGTATTAAAAGAATGTAAGTAATAAATTTTAAAAATATGATGGTTTATTTACTAAAAAAATATTCAAATACTTAATGATTCAAAATGAGAAAATTTAATGTTTTTTTAATTAATTTTTTTATGAACTAAACCATTCAAAATTGATTGGGTTTTTTTTGAACTTTTCCGTTAGTTATATAAAAAATGTAATAGCTACACATTTATAAAATTGTGTTTTTATTATTGTAAATGTTTACTTTGGGACTAGTGAAATATATTAAGACAAAATTAGAAAAGTGGCAAAAATAGATAAAGACAAAAGTACTAGTTCATTTTATGAAATATATATTTAAGGGTATTAGTGAGATGATTCATTTTCAATGCAAAATAGTGAGCATTTTCAAAATATTCTCTATAATAAAGAACTAAAAATCAAAATTTCAAAAAAAAAAAAAAAAAATTGTAGTTTTTGAAGAATTTAAAATATCTTCAATAGATTCCATATTTTGAAGAATCTAATATTGATTATAATATTAAAATATTTCATTTATCTATTGAAAACTTTTCTTATTTTGAAGATAGTTTAAGGAAGTTGTTGCAGTAGAATATTGGCTTAAAACATATTTTCTTTATTTTTTCCATTTTTAAAAAGTTGTTAGAGATGTTGTGACCATAAGTTTATGAAATGTGTTGTAGTTTTATATAAGAAAAAGGCATCAAAATTGTAATTTACTCATCGATGTGACTTGCTATAAACGGAAAGGTGTTGTAGTCATTAGAAAAAAGAATGGATAAGGTAAGTGAATCCACCGCCATGCCAGCCAATAAGAGAAAAGGTACAATGGGCATTTTTGTTTAAAAATTAAATGTACATAAAAAACTAAAGTAATAATTAATAATTATATTCCAAGTAAAAAGAAATTATAGATTTGGTTTTTATAAATGAAACAATTTTCAACCAGTCCCATAGATAGTGATAGGGTGAAGGACATGTACAAAAATGAAGTATTCAATTCTTCCTACAAATTTTGTCAATTACTTCAAATGTTAAAACACCTTTTTGTCCCATACATACATACATACATATATATATATATATATAGAATGTATCTCTTTCTCTCATAATGAGTTAGGCTATTTTTATATCATCAAAACCCACTCTTCTTGTAACGACCCTCGATAAGTACGAAAAAAAATTCAATAAATGTTTTTCATTAATATAAACTTGAGTACAAGAAATGTTAATAATTATCAAGAAAAAGAAATCTTATTTATCTTTATTATAGATATATAAGAGGGTACTTAAATTTACGTACTTCTTATTTCGTAATTTGAAACCAAAAGTATAGAAAATATGGTTGATAAATTTTCATAAAAAGTAAGAATCTTTTTAATCCATACCAAGAAATATATGTGTTATCTTAATATAAAAAGAGAATTCATGTGAATAAAGTAATCGTGAGGGTCAATGAGAGATCAATAATAAATAAGATTATCAAAGTTTTCTAAACAAGTAGACAAATGAGGATAAAAAATATGAAAGAAGAGATGATCCATTGAAATACAATAATAATAAATAATGAATTAAACATATAATATGCAAGCTCAACAAATGATTGTTTGAGCACTTAAATAGAATCTTGTGATGTGGTGGAATCCCAATGAAAGATACATAAGTCAAACAATTGATAAAAATATTTAAATTTTATTTTTCTTCTTTTTTTGCTCAACTAAAATAAGATGTCAAAATTAAAAGTTTATGAAACATAACATATATAAGAGATATTACTAAATTCATTTAGTAGAAAAAATTTGTTGATTAATCACAAAACCATGAAACACATTGTAAATTATAATAACAATAGATTGATTGTCAAACAATAATAAAATATTTTTTGTAAAAGCAAAAATTGATAACAATAGTCAACAAAAACAATTAGAACAACATAACTAAATAACAATAGTCAATAGATGCATAAATAGATAAAAATATATAGCAATAGTAAACATATGAGCTTAACATTGAATTGTTGAAGCACGAAAACAGTCAATCATATAGAGATAACAATAGTCAATATCATTGGATCTTGTTGAAGATAAAAAAATTAGAGAGACAATAAACAATGACATATTCCAATTATTATATTTTTTTTTCTCTAATGTAATTAGTTGATATATTCTTGGCTCTTATTATCTACTAAATTCTTTTGCCTCTTATTATATGGTATAATTTTCTGGGTTTCTTTAATTTATTAAATTCTTTTAGACTACTATTATATTTTAATAGAAAATTTTGGGCCACAAGGACGGTCTTGTCTCTGTCATTGGTTGTAGATACAAGCTACAACAATATCTTTCCTTATGCTTAAAACCTCCATCTTTGAGTAATTTGTCTTCATACAAACCTTACTTGAGAGCAAAATACAATTTTATCAATATCACTCGACTTGATCATGGTTTCAATGGGTTATGTTAGACATTATCACAACGATTTCGGATGGTTTCGATAAGTTAGGATTAGACAATCACACATTTATCACAAGGAAAACGATTTTGTGTGATATGGGTGTGATAATCATGTGATATGGGTTTCAAGCCGTCCATTCTAGATCAACAAAAATATGGATACTAACGATACGAAGAAAAAGTATTAAGAAAATCGACTATCATGAAAGATCTGGAGAAGAAGATTAGATAACCAGAGGAAAATGTGGAGACGTGGTCAACAAAAGGGATAATTATGAAATTGAAATAAAATAAAAATAATAAAAATTACTTAGTTACATTACTGTCCTTATTAAATTATTTATATATAATATAAGTTAATTTATTAATTAAAAAAATTTGAGGTTATTGGGTTGTTCTCGTATTCTCGTAAATCACAGGGGTTTTCGTTTGAACCTCCACCTATATATATATATATATATGTATATATGTGTGTGTGTGTGTAATTAAAATTTTATTCAGAATAGATTAAAAAAATAATGTTTTCAAATTTTATTTTATATTAAATTGACGATTATAAATAACAAGATGATATCACGAGAATGAAATGTTTATTAAATATTGAAACGTGGTGAGTTTAGTTATCTAAAATTAGTAAGAAGATGTAATGATATATTTACAAGAAAAGATGATTATTTATGTCAACTCTACTCTTATGAGAAGAAAAAGATCTCCAAACTCTTTGTAACATTGATAGTGATATGGATATATTGGTTTGAGTTTTATGCTACATTATAACAGAACTATTATCAATGCATCTCAAACTTAAACTTATTTTGTTAACGGTGTATCTCAAACTTTTTGCAACAACAAATAATTATCAATATATGCAAATTAACTACTTGAAAAAAAAATATTCATTGCTTTAACTAGATCCAATATATTTTCTTAAGCACGGTATCGTTACTATATATGCAACGGAACGGGCCACACTTAGTTACAATAATAAAAGTTGTAATAATAAATACTAGAAAAATATAACAAATACAAATTAAAACAGATTAGTCCAAGTAAACACAAATTCATAATGAAAACTAGAGTTAAATAAAAACATTTACCATTACTGAATAATTACATAAAGAAGTTTGTGATTAAATTCGAGTGTCATCTATAGATACAGTCATACATATACAGATACAGATACATAAATACGTATAATTTTGCAGGCTGGCTTTATTTATTTATTTATCCCTATAGAAATACGCTTCCTTTAATTTCTTTTTGTTTATCAACTTATTCTCTTAAGAAAGCCAAGGCATATGCATGCAGCCGCCTTCTTCCTCTTCACCTCTGCTCTTTTCCTAACCCTACCTACCCAAAACAAACTTACACAGACGTAAACGTACTCGTGCTGCTATCACCATCTTTCAGGTCTCCGAAGATGCGTTGCCGGAAATCTGATACCATCAGAGGAAGTCCTTCACGCAGGGGAACCACCGGCTGCCACCCCAGAAGCTCCGTCGCTCTTGAAATATCCGGCTTCCTCTTGTGTGGATCGTCTTCTGTGTTTGGTCTGAACTCGATCTTTGCATTTGGATCGATCGTATCTTGCACCACCTGTCACAAATTTAGACTATGATTTCTTGAATCTTGACGACCCACGGTTCAGGTTTATAGAAAACGATGGCCCGTGGTGAGAGTTAATTAATTACCTTGGCCAGTTCAAGCATGGTGAATTCACCAGGGTTTCCGAGATTAAAAGGTCCAACATGTTCTCCTTCCATCAACCTCATTAATCCTTCCACCTGTTATTCATCATGCATCAATTTTGTTTCACAATTTCAAAGTTTACAAGTCAAAGAAGCTTTAACAAATTGATGAAATAGCTAAATATAAGTGTCCTAAATAAACATTTTATAGAACCAAACAAAAAAACAGTCTTATCTAAAATTTAGAATTGTAATAAGTTTATACAACACTTTTGGGTTCACAACAAGTTTTTCAAGACATTTTCAAAAAAAATGTCCTGTTAACTATTAAAAATAAACGGGTTTACAAGACAATTCTCAAAAAAATCCTATAAAATAACTAATACAACACTTAATTTCAAAAATATCTTAAAATTTGTCAAGCCGTCCAAAAACGTCCTATATCTTGTTGCAACCAATTTAAATAAAATACAATTTATTGGTTGGTCCTCAAACACTTAAATCATATAAAACTCTCTATCATGACACTTAAATATCTTAGACGTCCTATAAACTTAATTTTGTTGCACCGAACATTAAAAGCTAGAATTTTTACCAAGTCGGAAACATATTGGAAGCTCCTGGTTTGCTTTCCATCTCCATAAACAGTCATCGGTTCCTTCCTCAATGCCTAGTTGATCCACAAAGCCATCACATTTAACACATATTCATGTATATATAATATATATATATATGTGTGTGTGTGTGTGTGTGTCAGTAAAGAAATGTGAGAACCCCTTTGAATCTCTTTTTAGATATATACCACTACTTTTGTCTAACTGATGTGAGATTAGACCAAACTTTTTCCAAACACTTACCTGAGCAACAAAATTGCTAACTACACGCCCATCATCAAGACACATTCGTGGTCCGTATGTGTTGAAAATCCGAGCAATTCTAACCTGGAAAAGATATATCCTCAAAAAGATGTCATCTTTTTCATATGTAAAGCAAGAAGATTAAAGAAATCTTGATAACCTCAATGTTAAGCCCTCTATGATAGTCCATGGTGAGGGTCTCGGCAACACGCTTTCCTTCATCGTAACAGCTTCTAACGCCTGTGAATAACCCCGTAGAAAAGCAATGTAACTCATATAGAAAAAGAAAATGGTAAAGAGACCCAAGCTATATATGCGTGGGATATATTGGGTTTGTTAATTAGTGAGGTAGTGAAACTCACCAATGGGGTTGACATTGCCCCAATAGGTTTCAACCTGAGGGTGTTCAAGAGGATCACCATACACCTCACTCGTACTCGTTAACAAGAATCGTGCGTTAATCCTCTTTGCGAGTCCTAGCATGTTCAGCGTTCCCACCACATTCGTCTTGTGATCACCATATCTGTCAAGGCTTAAAACAACCCGAAACGAAATGCAGCAAATTATCAAAGAATAAACTCAACAAAACCTTATATCTTCTTGAAATTTTGTTATTATCAAACAATGTTCATAAATTCAGTTACCCATTTGCTAAATCAATCAAAGATTGCAATGCAATTTGTATAAGAAAAGACAAAAAATAAAATAAAAAAAGGATATGATGGTTTTGACAGGGTTGTATTTGTAATGAACGGGCGAAGCAGGGCAAGCAAGATGGTAGATTTGATCAACTTCTAACAAGATGGGTTCAACGACGTCGTGTCGAATGAGCTCGAACCTAGGGTTCCTGAGATGATGGAGTACGTTATCTTTTCGACCTGTAAAAAAGTTATCGACTACGATCACATTATCGCCACGAGCCATCAGACGGTCCACCAGATGGCTTCCGACGAACCCGGATCCACCCGTCACTAACACCCTCATACTCTTGGGCTTCAACCCAAGAGGGATCCTCCCACCTGCATAGAATCAAAACTTGCAAACATGAACAAATAATGTCGATTTTTAATCGGTTATTGGTTATATCAGATGGATTTAGCCATATAACTAAAACCATTAGGAGGATGTGAAACCGAAATTTTGTATGATCTCGCTAGATACCGTAACTTAAACCCTAGAAATGAATAGTTTTGAATTCGCTACAGAGATACATATATATACATATATGTCTGTACCAGGATTGAGGTGATCGGAATGAAGCTCGTAGGCTCTCCGGCGAGGTACGGAAGTGGATTCGGCAATGTGCATAGAGTGAGAGATCTGTTGGGATGGCAAGGGAGAAGGAATGAGGAGGAGATTGGATATGAGAGCTGCAATGGCGATTCCGACGACGACAAAGAGCAAGCGTTGTTCTCGAAAGATGTAACGGATGGAATCGGAAATGGAGAATCTTTTAGGTGTGATAAGGGAATGGGGTTGAATCGTTTGGGAAGCCATTTCCAAAAACCTGTGGGGAAAGAGAATCTGGGATGGGAGAGATTAATTGCTGTTGAATGGGAAGAGACCCACAAATTTTGGAGAGAGAGAATGTAATTGGTTTATGGGAGACAAACTCAAATGAAAGGAAGTTCGGAATACGCGGTGCATTTGTATATAAATATAAATTGATATGTTTTTTTTTAATTTAATTAATCAAATAATACAACTTCAAATTATTTACTAGCTCATATGATAAATTAATGACGTCTATTTTATATATATATATATATATATATATATTTTGCATGGCAGCCAGTGAATCGAGTTTTTTGCAAAAATGGGTTGGTTTTGAAAAAGGTTTGTAAAAATAGGTTAGTTTTATTTTTGTTGGTAGAAATAGGTTAGTTTGTGTGGGACCCACTCATTTAAAAAAAATCTGATTTTCTATATTTACAATTTTTACCCTTCAACTTACATTTTCATTTTTATTTATATCATTTATTTTGTAAAATTTTATATTTAACCCTTATTATATATTATGTATTAATTTATTTAATTAAAATATATATGTTAAAATTTACGTATTATTTTTAAATTTACGTAATTTACGTATTATTATCAATTTATATAATTAAATAGATCTCTTGTATACCTTCAGATTAATTAATACCAACCTTTAATATGTTAAAATTTGTATATTTTTATCAGGTTATATAATTAAATTAAAAATTTATACAATTGTCATACAATTGATTCTGATTCCTGAACATTGTCACTATTTATGAAAACTCAAAAAAAGTGAAGAGGAATTGATTCCTGAACATTGTCACTATTTATGAAAACTCAAAAAAAATGAATAAATGAGTTGCCAATCAGTTACTTTTTTGTGTTATAAATTTGTTTGATTATTCACTTTCCATTCATCMTTCTTCAACTATTATATCATTAGAATATCAAATTTCAATCTTCTTTCCTTCATTCATCCAAGGTATGTATTATTTTCTAAATACTTAGCATATATTGATATGAAACATCATATATAGCATCATATTTATATAATTTATCTTATGATTTATTGTGCAGTTACATTTTGATATACTTATCATMATGAATCTAGGCGGTCCGCCTACAGGTACTAGTTTTCTAGATCTTCTTCGTAATTTTGAGACCAATCCCTCAAATGTACCACTTACTGGAAGGCATGGCATGGTCGGAGGAAAGCCATAGAGACTATCTATGGAACTTGGGAAAGTAACTTTGCTGAGTTGCCTAAGTACATTACAGCTTTGAAGTCTTCAAATCCTAACACGGTTGTGAATTGGTTTCATAATCCGAACGGATCATCAGATGTGGTGACATTCAAGTATGTTTTTTGGGCTTTTGGACCTGCTATTAATGCATTTCATCATTGTCGACCTGTTATTTCTGTTGATGGCTGTCATTTGAAAGGTTCATACAGGGGAAAAATGCTTGTTGCGGTCACAAAAGACGCTAATAATAACATATTGCAGCTTGTCGTCAATTTAATTATATAAATTGATAATAATACGTAAATTACATAAATTTAAAAATAATACGTAAATTTTAACATATATAATAAATTAATACATAATATATAATAAGGGTTAAATATAAAATTTTACAAAATAAATGATATAAATAAAAATGAAAATGTAAGTTGAAAGGTAAAAATTGTAAATATAGAAAATCAGATTTTTTTTAAATGAGTGGGTCCCACACAAACTAACCTATTTCTACCAACAAAAATAAAACTAACCTATTTTTACAAACTTTTTTCAAAACCAACCCATTTTTGCAAAAAACTCCAGTGAATCCTGTCTGGGTATCATAAATTAATTGCCTTTACCTTCAAATGATGCAACTTCATTTTTACGAAATCTTCTATTGCTTTACCAAGACTTGCAACAACATTCAACATATATATATATATATATATATATATATATATATATATATATATATATTGTTGTATATGATGTTATATTGGTTTGTAGACTAAATAATCTTATCCGGCAAGTAAGTAATAGTATTAAATTTTATCAATAAACGTTTATTGAATAAGTGTTTAGTAAACGACGCCTAAATGAATTATATTTAATTATTAATGCATCCTACTGTTTAAAATTTTTAATACATGAGTTGCATTAATTAGTTTCTTATATATTTTTAACACGATTTTCTTGTTTGTAGAAAATACGGCTACATGCAAGCCGAGTGAATGTCTAGAAGGCTAGAATCTCAAGTCTCGACCTTCTTTCATACGTTGGTTTGTGAAGATCCCATGAAGCATGACAATATTTGAAATTTTAATTATGCATTGTTTGGCAAACATAAACTAGCTTAACACTACTTGGAGTAGCGCTTTAGCAACTTATTGTGATTTTTTTTTCAATTGTAGCTCTCATTAATATTAATTTATAGTTTATTATAAACGAATATTAATTACTAATAAATATTAAATAAAAATAAACTATACTAAATGAATGTTAACTATTAGTTATAAATTAATTTTAATTATACACTATACGCTATACATTATATATTAATATTATTTATTTACAGTAATATTAAACATGTCAATTGGTTTATAACTATTATGTAATATATTTAGTTATCAAAAAAGTAAATATAAAAGTTTTAAATTGTTCTATATAAATTACTTAGTTTATTTTATATATATAATAGAAATGTGTTAAATGATTTTAATTTAATTTAATTATTAATTATATATTTTTTTAAATTATGTTAATTATAATATGTGAGGTTGACACTCTTGGTCACTTGGTCCCAATCGGATCTATAAGAGTTTATATGTAACATTTTGTAGAAAGGTGAGAGGATGAATACAAACACAATAACTTATCTAAACAATCAAGGAAACACGCAAATTACAGATGGCAAGAAAAAAAACTTCCTTCAAGAAATAGGTTAAGAAGTATTGTGCACTTCACTTGTTATAGTGGAAGACTTTTTCTTAGATAGAGAGCTTAGAGGGAGGAGTATATTCTTTGGTAAGATCTTCAAGCAAGGATGCTTGGATTTGATATTAGAGAGGATATCTGAGAAGAAAGAACTACTCAACTATTTATATCTATTGCATTAAATACAATTCAAATGGTGCAAAGCATGTGGCAAACTTCAAAAGTGAGCTTGTCCTTTATTGCATATATACAGTCTTTTGGTCGTATATGAATAGTCATCTTTCATAGAGTAGGTAAGCACGTTTGGAGACAATAAAGTGATTCCGTACATACTTTACTTTGAAAGGTATTGGTTTGTCCTTTGTGTGTAGAAGGACAAGACAAAAACTAATCATGTTCAACAAGATTCATTTGATCGCTGACACTGGAATGACGCTGAAGGACTCATTAGTGTCGTTGAATCTTGTTAGATTTCACACTTGTGTCGACGAGTTTGTTATCACTGAAAACCGCATCAGATCACGAACTTGCAAGTCTCTATCTTCAGCTTCTATCTTTGATATCATTGAAGGTTCTATGGTGTGAGTTTTATCTTCCTAATAAATATTGATCTCTGAACGAATTACAATACAAGTTCAGCGATCACTGAACAGACTCAATGATTATCACTGAAGCTAAATACATAGATAGTACACTTCGATAAATAAAAGGATCATCATCAAATCACTGAGAGAGAGGATCAACAGATACTTTTATGTATATTCATATTATATCTGATGGTTATTTAAAATCACAAATTAATAGGTTTTACCTAGAATTCGTTTAACAAATCTAAAAATATAATAATCAATTTGAATTTTTTTAGTCAACGTATTATATTATTTATTTATTTTTATCATCTTCTAGGTGTTGATTAACATATTATATTTTTAAAGATTTATTTTAATTATATTGTAAAATATTGTAATTGATTAATTTTTCAAGATATCATTTTTGGTTATTTTACATGTTTATAAGCTAATTTTTGTCAAACATAATTTGTTCATCAGCTATCATATAGTTTATCAGTCATAAGCTAGCTTATCAACGAGTTTGCCAAACATTTCCTTAGTGTTGCTACTTTTTAAGGATTGCAATCGCAGGTTTTATATTATGTTGGACTACAAGTTGTTTGAATGCTTTTGTTGTATTACTTTCTATTGGACAACATGTTATTCACTTGTGTGGAGTGTCGACAACATGTTTCTTTTCACTTTGCGTCTGTGTGGATAGCAGGTTTGAGGTTTTTTATTTGCTTATATGGACAACGGGTTTCTATTCACTCTGTGTCTGTGTGGATAACAGATTTGAGGTTTTTATTTACTTATATGGACTATGGGTGGACTTGGTACGGTACCAATTTTTTCTCTAATATCGTATACCAACAAATTATAATTGGTATGAAAACTCTTATAGACTTATACCATGTATCAATCAACTGTATTTTGTACAGTAATCTCTATCGAAATCGAACTTGTGAGGCATCTATTTGTGTCAGGGGCCCTGGATATGTAACTGGTCAAGATACTCGCCATCTATTTTCATTGTTCAACTCTTTAACAACACGAAAGGTTTAATTAGTACCAACTTTTTTATGTTGGTACAAGTTATGTACAAACTTCATGTTACATACGAAAATTTTCCAGTTTTTTTTTTTTCAAAATATAAGTGAAAATTTTGAGTTTTCAGGTAACACATGTGATGTTTAACGCGTTTTTAATAAAACATCAAACATTCAAATGTTTAAATAAAATAATTAAAGTTGCAAGGTTTAATATCAACTACATAAAAAATACACAAAATAAATAAAAAATAAATAAGTTGGTACCATGGTACTACTGTGGTATGCAACTTTCAATATCGTGTACCAACCAAGTTTGCAAGATACTACCAATCGGTACCAATTTAATTGGTAATTTGGTACACATGTCGGTTGGTTTGGTTTGGTACAAAATTGTCATCACTAAATATGGACAAGAGTTGGTTGTTATTCACTTATTTGGAAAGCATGTTTGAATTAAATTATTCGGATAGCAAGTTATACTTATGTTAATGAATTTGTAATTATAATTTCAACTTTTTTGAGTTGTTGATACAAAACCGTACCAACCAAAAAAAGTTGGTTGGTATCAAATAGAGTTGATTGGTACATAATATAAATATTATGCATCAATTATAATTGGTTAGTATTGAAAGGAAAATCATTATACATCTTTTATCATCAAATATGTTATGTTCTCTCCATTGTCTCCGTAGCTTATTGAAACTAACAAATTATTTATTAAACAAACAAATATTTAGAAAAAATAAATTTTATTCCAAATCCCAAAAACAAATATTCTAAATTCTCCCAATTTCAGATATTTCAACGAAATTCAAATTCCTCAAAAACATTTCATCAAACCAAAATGAATCCTTAGGGGCATTTGGTATGATGGAATGATTTTGAGGCATTTGGATTTTGTGAAATAATTTGAAATATTTGATTTTTGTTTGTTTTGTAGGATTTGAAATGAATTTAAGTTATATTTTTTGTTAATAGTTTATAAAAACAAATTATAAATAATTATACAAATGAAATGAAGTTGTATTAATTGATTATTAGAAAATAGATATTTTTTACATATTTTAAAACATTATTACATACAAATCTCATGAAATACCAAATATTCTCATGTGATTTCAAAATTATATATTCGTAGGATTTCAATAAAATACTGGGATTTCAAGTTCTAGAAATTTGTCAAACCAAAACTAAGATGAAATGGAATTCATTTTCTAATCCCTCTGAAATTTAATCCAATCCCAACAAACCAAATGGGTCTTTGGGGCCTATTTAGTTTGACAAATATTTTGGAGGGATTTGGATTTCGTAGAATAATTTAGAATTGGGTGTATTTAGAATTAAAATGATTTGAAATTTTTGGATGTGTTTGGTTTTTAGAATTTGGAATTGAATTAATTTCATTATTTTATAAAGAAAAATTATAAAATTAATTAGATTCTCTTTTTATTAATTTATTATTACAAGACAAGTGTTTTTAACATATTTTAAAACACTATTAGAAATAAAATATATGAAATTTTACGAAATACCAACTGCCCTCATTGGATTTTTAAATCTCATGTTTGTGGAATTCAATGAAATCAATCCATGCAATCATTCAAACCAAAAGCGAGATTGACATGTAATTAAATCCTCAATTCTACAAATCAAATGGGACCATAGTTTTTATTATTATCCGCGGGCAGATAACGGGATGGAGATGTAAATGAGGGATGGGAAGGTTACACTTACATGAACAGTTTCTTGTGCTCTTTAATTACTTTCGGTACCTTTTATTGATGGAAAAAATTAAATATTATTTATCTATCTTAAATATTAGACCGAAAAGAATTCTTCAAATTTTGGGATTTCGATATTATTTTCTTTATTTTATTAGACATTTTAACATAACGGTTGATAACGCTTCAATCTTAATTTCAATCTTCTAAATTATAAATTAAATTAAATTAAAATTAGAAGAAAAATACTTTTATCTTAAATTTTACAAAGAAACGATGACGTTTCTAAAATTTAGTGTGAAATAAAAGTTACAATTCTACCTACTTGTATAAATATCAACAGAAAATATAATCATAAGAATGTTTGTGATTCAACTTTAGCATCCAATAATTGTTACATCAAACACTCAACAAAATATAATATAACATTCCAGATCAACCGTATCAGATATTGTCCATATATTTAGATTCACGTTTTTTAAACGCGTTTGATAGAAGAGGCAACCTTTGTTCCTCTTCCCAACCAATGTAGGATCTTACAGATTATTGTTCCACGTTTCATATGACTTTTATATGAAACAAAACAAAGTGGAACAAACGTGTTACACCCCTAACCCATGGAAAAAGGTGAAACAAATATATATGTACTAGCAAAATAATGCTGAATTCTATTCTAAAACATCAAATACGTCTTCCTCTATAAATTCAATTTATCGTATTTTTATGATTTTATCTTCTTTAAACTTTCAGTATTTTTATACGTTTTTTATATTTTGATTAACTTTGCAATTTATTAAATATTGATAATAATATAAAAAAAATGTATAAAATAAAATTTGGAAATTAATAAACATCAGTAATAATATATTTCATTATAAAAGATATTTTAAGAAGTCCAAAATTTTGTTAGAAAAGTGATTTATTTGAACAAGTAATTTTCAAACCCAAGTTGATCTCACTCAACACAAGATTTGCTGAACTTAAACAGACTCCGCTCCTTGAAAACTTTGAGTTGAATAGAAGCAGATACTTTTCCAGAGCCCAACATATTCATACATCATACGTTAATAACTCTTACATTAAAAAGATGCTGACACCCAAAAACAAACTTATAAAACTTGAATTTTAAATTTTAATGCAAATTGATATTCTCAAGTTCGAGCCCATGGCTCGACTCTTTGTTCGCAACAAAACATACATTTCTCATACATTGGGTACGAATGTGTTCATTCCAAGTTCCAACCATGGGCAAAGGTTCTTTTCTCTTATTCCAGTATCTTTAAAGCAAAACGAATCCTACCCAGAGCTCATGCTCAGCTCATTTGTATTGATGGGTAAAATCATCTTTGTAAACAAATATCAAATATGGAAATCAAGATTGCCTGCCAACTAGGTCAGATTGGATGAAAAATCACAAAAAGAAACCTCAAAACTCATCTGCCTTAATTTTCCATTTGTTTCTCCACATCAATGTCTCCCATACCTGTATCTTCTTCCTCTTCACTGTCATCATCTCCCTCCACTTCTTCGTTGGCTTGACTTAGCTTCGCCATACGTTCCGCAAGTAATATATCCTCACGTTCACTCACCTGCACACAAGGGCCATGTTTACATACATATGAAAAACCCATTACTCGATTCATATAATTGAATCATGAATCTTAGAAGACCAACATATTAGTCTCCTTGAAAAGAAATTCACATAAATCCTGTTTGACCTCTATTAGGAGTTCTTGGAGACGTAAGAGTAGTGTAGCATACTATGTGTAGGGACTTGAACCATATATGATTGGGAAGAAGGGTATCTAACTTCCAGGGGAAGCTTTATGCAGAAAGCCAGGGTTTTTCAAACCATAATCCTTCCGTCTATTAGAAGTCCCTCCCAAACAAAAACTTTCTCAATCTATAGAGATGGATCAATCCACACAAACAGCTTTATCCATACAGGACTTCATGGAAAATCGACCAAACAGCCCCTTACTTCTGATAATGTTTTAATGTTTTCTAGTATTGGTTCTGCTTTTCATTTTCTCAATTATGACTCAATTACATTAGAGAAAAAGCGCTTGGCATTTCACTCTTTGTTGTAGGGTTGTCACGGATTGGCCGGCCATACGGATCTTTTTTCTTCCATGGCCAGCTCAACAAAGGGGCAGGCTAGAAAGCATACGATCTGAGACCCTTACCTAAAGCCAGTAGGGTGGAAAGAGGGTCTTAGAGAGCTGCTAGATGAGATAAAGCATGTCAGTAAGCGATTGAGGGACGGCTCTCAATGACCTCATTTTGGTAGCATCTCAAGAGCTTGTAACTCTACTTTAATTAAAGGCGGCCAAATAAAACTACGTTGAATTTTGAGGCATATGGGGCATTTAAATGGAAGGCCAATATTGCAAGCAAAATAAGTTAGAAGGTGACACTTACTGCTCTGGGTGCTTCCTTTACTGTAAGTTTTCCCTTGTGATGCTCTATTTCTTGGGTACAAGCAGCAATTGCTTTAGTAAGAACTGAAATTCCTTGCTCCTGGGAAGTACAATCAAAGCATATAAAGTCATTTATAAATGTAAACTAAAGGAAGGAAAACAATATATTAATAAACCAAAATCTAGCATCTAATGACTTGCAATTGAAAGATTTATGCCACCTATGCATTATATAAAAAACCCTCATCTTGGAACACCATTGAGATATCTCAATAGGCTAGAACTATTACACTTAAAATCCTTATGTGTGCAATTCCAATAGAAAGCAGAGTATCGATCAAGTTGATAAACCCATGACTAGAATATATGCAACCAAAGATTTCACGACCAGCTTGGAAGGTGAGCAGAAAAAACAGAGAGCTGATGGAGAATTATATCCTTTACAACATTTGATTTCATGAGTTCAATAGTATAGCTAGATCTGACAACAGCATTTCCCCAAATATTGGTTTTTGAGTGAGCTGAATTGCAAAAATAAAGCTGGTCCTATAGTTACTCCCACAAGTATGTTCACCCAATTGTTAGAATTGGCAAAATGTTCCAAAGATAACCAAACCAAAGACCCTGGTATATCCCATCTGAAGGTGGTCTTAGGGGGAGGGGGTGAGATGTACGGAGACCTGAATTCCACACAAAAAAAGGTAGAGCGGCTGCCAAAGATGGATAAGCTAACCAGTTGTGGATCTCAAATGGGAAGGATGAAGTGGACAAACAAATAACAAGATTAAACAAGTATGCTACAGTAACATGAGGATGGTCTGCTCTTGGGAACAATGAAAACTAAAGTTTCAGCTCCTCCTCGCTAAGTTAGACAGCATGGCTGATGAAGTCATGGAGGCACCGCAAATTGTGAGCTGCAATAAATCTATTGGCTGAGTGCACGCTGCCTTCAGTCTGAACCTATTAATCCCTGAGACATCTTTAAGAAGTATTAGACAACAAAATATTTCGTGTGGCAAATTTGACAAAGAAACTATTGGACATATCCCCCGATCCACTACCAAATCCCCTGCCAGAACTCAAAACACCCCATGCTATAGCCTCTCCCAAGACATCCTCCTCCTGTTTGACATATTTCATTAAAAATGTCCCAAGTGGAAATGAGACCTTCACACCTTAAGGGAGCTTATATACTAGTAAGCATATAAGAGCAAGTAGGCTAAATCTGAATAGACCCCAAGTTATCCAAAAGCATAGGGCAGACTGAATTTAAGTGCACATGACACACAGCCAAATGGAAGTCGGAACATGTCGAGTGCCCTAACGTTGCATCACAAACAGGGGACTAAACTTGACAGAAAACACCCTACAGGCTTGTTCACTAATTGGTTATAGTACTCATGAAAGGAACGACCACCCCATTAAGCAATGAGATAGGCTGCAGTTATAATAGCGGTGCTAAACTGGAATCGCAGTCAGGTCCCTGATTTGCTATATCAGAAAAACAAGTGGCATAGAACACACAAGAAATAGCGACTCATGTAATAAATAAAGAAAATTGCATCAAAATGCAAAAATAGATGGTTAGAATTTACTAAATTTCCAACTGTACCCTTAATTATGACACATGAATATTCAAGAGATGATGGGATTAAGAACTTCATTAAGGATCAGTTAATAAATAATGTATTAATTATTATATTTCAAAAACTGTGTTTTTTTGTTGACATTTATTTTGGGACGAAGGGAGTAGCAATATTCCAATAAAAGCATAAAGTTTCAACCTCAAAACATATAGTTTTTCCATGATAAAGTGTCAAAACTAAAACTAAAGTCACATCAAATCAAAAAATCAAAAAATCAAAAAATATCGATTTTCACACTGCTATTTGAATCCAAATAGCACCACAGACGGTGTTTCAATGATCTTGAGCCTTGATATTGAAATTTTGTAGTGGTTGATTCAACCGAGATATCACCGATATCCCAATGCGATGGATAGTCCAATTAAGACATGCTACTAGCACTTGAATGGGTAGCCATTAGATCCCACCATGACTTGGTTGTCTAATATGGCATCCCAATATGATAGATATTTTTAATCCCATCGACGCGTGAAGCGCAGATAAGATGTCACTTCCAAGTTCCAATTGCATGTCAATTATGTGTGATCAACACCAAAAGAGTCCTCTAGTCAAGTGATCATAATGGGATCTCGTCTTTAAGTGGTCATGCACAATGATTAGCCACTGAATCCAATTCTAGTCATTTAACCAGTTTGGTATCTTTACTACTTTTGAACCGCACATCCAATCTGGCACCACCAGTTTTTGTGCCTTCCTTTGATTTACCCTTACTTCAAATGAGAGGTCAACAAATAAAGTCAAACACCCAGAAAAATCTAATCCAACCAATACCAATACCAATACCAATACCAAGTTTACAAACATCGAACACCTACAGTGAAGCAAAGAAAAACCAACTAACCAATACAACACTAACCTACACCAGCCGATCAATAGGAAATCTTAAGACTGCCCTCATGCTCACTCACTAAAAAGCTTCAATTCCACTCACCAAAACAACTGACGCAAGCAACAAGGTGACAAACGAAATGCATCATCTCATCCACAAATTGAACGGATGTCCCCATCAAACTAATCAAGCCCTAAAACCAGTAGACCAATTCCTGTCAAACTCACCAGTTCGGTCAAGAAATACCTATCTTTAGGGCAGAAGTTATATCTATGTCCAACTCCCAAACAAAAACAGGGCATGACCATTTAACTGGTGGAGGTTAATTTTTTTGTGTTTAGGATTTTAAAATTTATGCCGATACCATACAAAACGAACCAACGAAACAAAGCAAGAAACCCTAAATATTCTAGAAATATAATTTCATACATGCATCTAACAAGAACATAGTGAGAAATCTCTCTACATAAAGCATATAGTAGCCACATATTACAAACAAAAATAGAAATATATAAATGTAGACAAATAAAAGTTACATAAACTTCTCAAGGCCAACGTTTAAAGTTTAGTAGATAATCCTTCCATCATTCATTCTACAATAATGGTATTGTAATAAGCTGTTAAAAGGTAAATCCATAATTGGGAAGCTTTGAATTATCAGAGTTCCAACTTCAGTAGTTCTGGGCATGAACAAAAAGATCACACCAAAACCTACCAAGAAACATGTAAGGTACAGGACATGCCAATTGGAAGTCATTAGATGACAGTTTATATAGCTTAGCATGTATTGATAACTGAAAAGAAGACCACAAGCAACTAGAACCTCTCAGCTTTCTTCATCATCTTCCCTCTTCACTGCAGCACTTCTTCCCTGCCCTCTTTATGCTTCTTTTCCCAACATCACTTCCACCTCTAACCTCGGTTTTCACTAAACCATCAACCACAGTGCACATCAGAACTACCTCAATACCAACAAACCATGTGCACTGCTAGTAGTCCTACTCAATAATAATACATGCTCGCCTGCTCGGTCTGCAGTTTGCAATTTCACCGAAGTCCAAACCAGCACGATGGTTCGGTCCCAACAATATCCCAAAATCAACTTAACCAAATCATGTGCACCCCAAGTAGTTCCAATGAGTAATATGCACCCAAGAGCACCAAGTAGTCACAGAAACTATTCAATGTTGATACCCGAAAAGAGTTCCAAAAATCTAATTACATTTGATCATTACATAAAAGACGCATTAAGTTGACAATACACTAACCTATTTGCCTATTTTCATCATTTTTACTACTAGAAGGGTACTCGTGCACTACAGCAAGATACATCTCGATTTTAATATTTCATTCTATTTTTTGTTTCTATCGATGTTATACGGTTTTATGTGGTTTTGAGAAAGCAATAATGTCTTTTGAATAAACTATAAATTTAAAGATATCATAAAACTTTGAAAAAGATATAGATGTTAGTATCAAATTAACTATTTAAAAGTTATCTGTTTTGTGTAATTAATTTAATTCAATGTTTTTTATTATAACTTAATTTAGGTTTGATAAATAAGTAATTCAATGTTTTTTATTATAACTTAATTTAGTGGTCCCTGCTTTGTCTGAGGATGTCAAAGATGTATCAAATTAACTATTTAAAAGTATTATGTTACAATGATTATCCTAATTATATTTTAGATTTTTTTTATAATTAAAATGAGATGTTTATCCCGATTATGCGTATCTGTTTTTAGTTACACAAATTCAAACATGGAGTTTTAATAAATTGTACTTACGCACAATTTACTTGTAAACTTGAATTTTAAGTAATATGCATCAATAAACAGTACTCCATGCATAAAAAATGGTTTTTAAGAGTTTCTGTCAAATGCTTTATAATATAGTATAGATTATTGCTTCAGTCCACAAGTTTCACCTACTTTATCATCATTGAAGGGTATTCTTCGCATTTAATTAATAGTTAAACAGTTTGTTAAACTAACAATGGAAAGGATAATAAATCATGTTAGGAATGGACATATCAATTAACTTCAGAAAATCACACCACAAAGTCATAAGAATCAAGCATAATATTTCATTTACCTTATCAAGAGTTTGAGTGATAAGAACATAGGACGGAGGAGCAACCAATTTAATTTTAACAGGGCAGTCGTGATTCCCAGCAGCTTCAGCCTTCCGCATGGCATCCTAAGGAATAGAAAATCATAAAAAGTTTGACTGTTTCACTTGCAACTGCCTTTCAAAATCAAAATTTGTTGAAGTTAAGCCTTTAAATGAGTAGATTAGAGGAGTAGAACAAATAGGAACCTTAATATGAAGAACCCCGTCAAACTCGAAGCATTTCATTTCAATATCTGCCCTGATCTTCAAAGGCTGTGGAGTCATCCTCCTTCTAATGTTCTTTACTAATACATCTTTGACATCCTCAGACAAAGCAGGGACCACTTTTACCACCTACATTACGAGTACTTCTGATGTGATCATCATTGAAGCATACTAGCAGAAGGCAGGCTAAATGATATAAAGCATGCACAAGTTACCTCTTTTCCATCAGAGTCGGTTTCTTTAACTTCACGAGTGAGTGAATTGAGAATGGAGTCAGGATCACTAACAATTAGTTTAAATGCCTGCAAGAAAATAGCAGAAGAATGAGATAAGTGCATTTCCACTGTCCGACAATGAGTGTTAAAGTGTCCTCCGTCTATTTCACAACCCTCACCTCAAAGGCATGCCCATACTTCCGGTACAAAGGCCAACCAACATGAATATACAAATCCTGTCATTGCAAAAATTACAAAATAGCACATGGTTAACATTAAAAAGGCAAAAAAGCGTATATGTAAACCTAGTGCCATCAAAACCCATAAACGAAATCTGTCTTATTCTCAATTATGATAATAACAAATGTTACTGTGTGGTAACATGCATGGATAGCAAGAGTTCTTATATTGTCTACCTCATTGTGCATTAAGAACCCATATCATATATGGTGCATCTCAAAAGGTACACAAACAGCATACCCTGGGGAGGGGGGTCGTAAACTAAAGAACAATTCCATACAACTATACAAGGTCTATCGTCTTTGTTACAACATTCTATTTTTCAACCTTAAAGCTGATTTAACTTGTGTATCATATCCTCGCCACTATATTTGTGATCATATGATATTGTAAGCCATGCAATCAACGACATTAAAGATGTGACAATAGGCCAAGAAGCTATTAAGTACTGACATGCAATGCAAAATCACAGTGGATAGCATTTTCAACATCGATTGTAACAATGATGAATATCACTATGTTCTAATGTGTGCCAATAAGTTGTGTGGCTTGGGTGTATCAAAGCAATTGAGTCAAAAAATAAAACAAATATGCAGAAATCGTCATGGTGTAAGCTCCAAAAGTATCATATGACACTCTAAGAAAAAGATCTCACAGAGTGCAGAACAGATTAGGGTTGAGACCTCTACAAAGTGATATTTTCATATGCCTAGTATATATGTTCCTTTGTTAAAGCAATTAATTCAATTATTCAAGGAACAAGTGGACTACCACCAATTTAGATTTCTCAACTGCGGGCTTGCAACTGCAATTTTTAGAAAGACAGAACTGAAAAAATAAACATGCCGCTTATAACTTCAGACTAGTGTAGTTGTAAAATTGGTGATGGATTCCTATAACAACAACATGTTAGCAATAAATGCACCCCATTGCATAGCCCCCAAACTCTAGAATAACAAGTGTTCCTCTTACAACATGACGGAATTTTTGAGTAAAAATTGCATGATGGTCAATAAACAAACCTTTCAAATATCTATCATATTACCAATTCTACATACCGATGAGTTTGTTAATTGATTGACACAATGTCATAAACCAACAAAATATCCGTGGTAGTGACGTTAATTATTAAACATAAAAGATGATACATTTAAAAAGCATAAAGATGTATATCCTGAAGGTCAAACATAATGAAGAAGGAATTCTTTATTTCAAAACCCTAAAGGAAAAGTAAGAACCTAAGCTTAAGATATAATGAACCAGAGTATCGAGTGCAGCAGGACTGAAGAACCCCGCTCCTTCATATGTTATTTTTGGAGGAGAGATAACTCTATCAGTTAACATCTAAACTGAGAAAAAGAAAATGCAATATAAATTATTATTACGATAATTTATATTCATAGAACAAGGATAAAAAACAGTCGATAGCTTTAACACTTGTGGTTTTCTACACCTCGAGATAGTTGGATACTGAAGCAGCTAACTATGCAAAGAAAAGCTTGAAAAGATAATGGAGCAGAAAGCAAATTATTCAAACCCTTATAACTCCTAGTGTTATGGTCTGATGCTCGATCTCAATATGATTGATTGCACTGTATATTATGCCCAACGCTTTTCTTGAACGTCATCCCATTGCTGGAATAAGAAATATTTATATAATAACCCTTTGATTAACTTCCTATAAGTGTTGTTTTATTAAGTTAATAAAGCCTTAACGAAGTACATTCTATTAAGCCAGCTTTTCTTGCTACTGCTTCATATTCATAAATTATGCGCAACGTGATCCTTGAACTTCTTCCATCTCTAGAATAAACATATCCAATATAATGCCCCTTCGGTTAACATCCTATAAGTGTTCTTTTATTGAACTTCTAAGTCCTACTTAAAATTAAGAGTTTCATGAAGTGAAAAGAACCCCAAAAGGTTAACAAACTAATTGAATAACTCTACCACCTATTCACCATCTCGTGGGTTGCTTGCGATGCTGCATTGCTGCTGAATTCAGGTCGACAGCAAACAACAAAAATTCTGATGCATAAACTTTCTGTGTCAACTAGACAACACCATGAAAGTGGCAACTAGTGCACTTACAAGTATCCATGTACCATGGTTAGGGTTTATGTCCTTATACGATGTGATTAAATGCACTGTCAAAACAAAATACAGAAATATCTATCCATCCAAATCCAATAACATAAAACCACCCGTACTTACCTCAAGATCAAGCTCCATAGTTTCGGCAACATGGCGCATAATAGAGTGAACAAGCTTACTCTTATTATACCTATCTTCACAAATCTGAATGTCCTCTTCAGAAACCCTCCTTTTGCTAAGATTAACATAGCCTTTATCTTCGTCTACGTGAAGCACCATAACAGGTTCAATGCGCCCCACTTTAATCAAACTATTGATACTACGAATTCGACGTCGCGACAACTCGGACAAAAGAATCATGCCCTCAATGTTGTTGTACTCGAGAAGCGAAACGTACGCACACATCTCGCCAATGCTTTTGACTTGAATCATCACCGCCATGTCAACTTCAGGAAAGCGGACTTCGTACATGCGACACTCAAGATTGGGGGAATTGGAAGCCATGATTGTGAAAGGATTTTGGTTGGGAGTCGCTAGGGTTTTGAGTGAGATTGGCCCGGACTCCTGTGAATCGTAGACTGATCAGAAGGCGAGAGAAATTGCTGAGACTAGAAAAGATTTTCAGAGCTCGCTGTGTCTAGGGTTTTATGAAGGGTTTGGACCTTGGATATCCAGACTTGGAGAATATGGATTTCTTGTTATTTCACATGGAACATATGTCAGAGAATACATGGATAATATTTATAAGAACATGTCTCCTAATATTCCCCCTCAAGTTAGAGCATCAAAAGTTACGAATTCCCGGCATACAATATAGGCGTATCGGATGGTCATGAGAAATCCCGAAGCAAGCCAAAAGGGACTTTAACCACTTTGAATGTGCATGTAGTACTTGCCACATACTGATATTTAGCCTCTACCGATGATCCATAAATAGTGGATTACGAATTCGTTTTCCAATGAATAGGAGACATGCCAATAAAGACAAAATACCCCTTTAACGATCCACAAGTCAAAGCGCAAGTCGCCCAATCACTATTAATGTTGAAAGAGGACATGCACCGAGTAATCCTACCTCGCTAGGAATGTCCAATGCATATTTCCTATGTGACAAAAACAAACCCTTATTGCCGTAAGCCACCTCTATCCCATGAAAATACTTGAGAACACCCAAAGTCTTTCAAATGAAATTTCTCACTAAGATGGGTCTTGAACTTTGCGATAGCCGAGGGAGCAGAACCCTTGACAATTATGTCATCCATGCAATAACATGCAAAATAACTCCCTGTTTTGAGTAAGTGAACAAAAAGTAGTCAACATACGATTGTTTGAATCCTATATCTCTCAATGCATTTGTGAGCTTAGCAAACCAATCACAGGGTGCTTATCGAAGACTGGTGCTCATTGGTGCTATCTGAATGATACTTCAACTTGAAGTTGGAGGCGGTTTTGTGTGGGGGCTGGTTGAAGTTGCCGATAATCGAAGCTTGTCCTTTGCTACAATATATACAGTTGCATCGGAACCTGCATCCATGGAAACGAATGTCTATGACATGGCTGAGGACATCAAGCTCCTCCTCCCGAGAGATATTCCCAAATCTTCATGTCACAAAGAAATGACCAAAATAGCTTATCTCCTCAATTGATCAACAGAGATGTTCCTTTTCGAGCAAAGGTTTTTGCTCAAACAACCGATCCTGATTGAATTGGAACAGTTGTTATGATTCGACATCCAATAAATTATTTTGTTTTGATCAGTTCCCCACCCCTCAATTTCACCCTAAGACGAAAAGTTGATTCAAATATTGAAGGTATGGGGGTTCAAGAAAGTTGTTGGACAACTCAAATTGGTCGAACCAAGTCAAAATGGATCTGTTTTAGCCGGTTTGAGCGGCCTGGCAGTCCGGCTCGGTTTGAAAATTAGCTAAATTGCTCGGCCAGGTCTTATTTGCGGCTTCAACGTTTTTTGAGCAGTTTGGACCGAACAGACCGTAAAAAAAATACACATATATTAATTTATATTTAATTTTCAAGTCATTAGTTCAACTTTACAACACGACTAAAAAACATTCGTCCAAAACGTTATGTTTTTAGTTTTCATTTCTCAATTGATCGCGTCATCTAAATTGGCGAAATTCCGATCTCCGTCAAAAATCAAATTCAAAATTCCAGATTGTCATTCGACTTGCTCAATATTTGTCCAAAATTCCAACCATTATTAGTGGATTTGTTTAACATTTTTTCAAAGTGCTCAATGTTTTTTAGTTATAGAGATAAAGGGTTGGGTCCTGACAAGAACGAGAGTTAAGTGAGAAGCATAAGAAGTGATTTCCTCTATTGGATGTACATTAGTATGAGATGTACCAAATCAATTATCGTATCAAGCGTGATTCATGAATGCGTTTGAGATTAAAGGTGATAAAGAGTCCAGATCCCTTTTACGCTTCTCACCTTAATTATCTTTCTCACCTTAACTCTCTTTCTTACACGATCTTTCACTTACATATAGATGAATCTTTTATAACTCATTAACCTATTTTTTAATAATGTTAGATGTTATTTTTTTAAGTTTAAAGCTCGTAGGAAACCCATACCACCTAAACCAGACAGACTAGACCACCTTTTTGTGGTTTGGTTTGACCGGTTTGGTCGCTTGTTGCCAAACCGTTCGGTTTGAAAAGTTTGTTAAAATGTCATTGCGATTTGTTTTAATTTTTTTTTTTGGGGGGGGGGGGGGGGGAAAACCAAACCAGACCACGAGTGCCTCTAATCTGATGTGATTGGAGTTCCGTTGGATGTGAATGTGGGTTGATGATGAGATGAGAGTTCTATTGAATATGAATAGAAAAATACCTTGAAACCGTGGGTCAATGATGAGATGAATTTCTATTGAATGTGAAAAAAATAAATACCCATAAATTACTGGTTGATGATGTGAAGAGGGTTTAATTAGATATGGATTTATAAATACCCCAAAATTGATTAAGCAACACTTTTTGTAGTTCAAAGTCTTGTTATCCATTTAGTTTATGTATCACGTTTGCCATCGTTCTCTATAAATTTTTCATGAGGTGATGCCAAAGTCCATCGAAGCGGCAACCATGAAGAGATAGGTGGTTTATTACCGAGCATGCTAGACAAGTTACATGGTTTGAATAGGCTATTACCGCTATTGTTCTATCTTTGTATATTTTCATATTTCGGAATCATTAATAAGTGAAGAATGACTCACTAAACATAAATCATTCCAAACGCGACTTACACAAGTGTGGAAAGTAAAAGGTTTGAGAAATAACACACCAGGTTCAGAGTGATTCACCCAACTTGGTCAATCCATTTCCACAGGTGATTCAGAAAAACAATACGATGCTTAACTGTGCAAACACAAACCGATACCATGAAGTTGTTATTTTGTATCAACATTCTAGTGTCTTGTCTTGAAACAATAACTATATCACTTATCGAGGTATTCATGCATGTAAGTTCCAACGATCACCATCATCAACACAAACTTTGGATTTGTTAATATATGTTTTTTATAAAAAAACATGACTTTTCTCCGATCGGTCTCTTGAAATATAGCTCATAATAACACGCAAGAAGAGAAAGGTGTTCACTCTGAACACAAAAATTGCCTGGATTTCCCAAATCTTAAAAAATTAGAGGAGAGTTCACATGGATGTCGAAGCATTTTTTTTTCTTCTAAATCTTCATATTATTTTTAAATAACATAGTCTGTTAAAAGAAATCAGTTTTCTAAAACGTTTCCCAATGTTTAGATTTTTATAAAGTAGCAAACTAGGATGCTGCATTTTAGTCGAAACTCTTTTTTTATACTTATAAAAAATGTATGATTGAAAATGCAAATAAAAATGATTTGTGAGGTAAAGGGGTAAGAAGATATAGAATTGGGATTTCTAAATGAATTGCTATTTGTTATGTCGCATTACATTTTTTGGTATGCAAATTTATGAAATTATTTATTAAAATAGATATTGATTTAACTAGAAATATAAATTATATTTTGATCATATACTAATAGATAAAAATATAAAACAATTGCTTACAAACTACCTGATACAAATAAATACAAATACAAACTTAATAAAATTTTAAAAAATTATTATATTAATAAATTGATGTTTTGGTATTAAATCATATATATTATTTTACATTTCAATGCAATTATATGGAAACTTGGCCCAAAATCCCGCCCTTATAGTTATATGGTCTAAGGCCCAAATACAAAGATCGGCCCATCAACAGAATACATACACTGGTCAATTGCCATTGCCACCATCCTTTTTACTCTTGTTCGGTTCTGGGTTATACTTCAGAAGGAGATCGTGAGGTCAAAATCAGAATCAATGGCGTCGGGATGGGGGATAACAGGCAACAAAGGGAGGTGCTACGATTTCTGGATGGATTTCAGTGAGTGTATGTCTCGTTGCAGAGAACCCAAAGACTGTTCTCTTCTCCGTGAAGACTATCTCGAGTGTCTTCACCACTCCAAAGAGGTACAATCTTCCGCAATCGAAATCGAATCG